ATTTGAAACAAGTTGAGTAAAATATTTTGTAGCATTTGCTGCTATGAGGACTCAAATATAAGTTAAAACATATGCATTGGTAAAGCAATTAGGTTTTGTTAGTACATTGTATTGGTTCAGTTTTGAAATTACAGAAAAAATATAGTTATTAATAAATACCTGGATCAATGATTTGTTAAGGAAATCACATTTTCTTCTTCTTACACATTGTTATTTCCTTTAATCCTGAAGTGGTAGTAAAAGCTGGTTGATAAAATTTATTATTTGTTTTTCAAACCCAAAGTATGCAGATTGTATTGTACTGTAATGAGCTTTTTATCTCAGTTTCAAAGTATATAAAGAGAAATAAAATAATACAATTTTGACTAGGTTCCATACAAGTTTATTTTTTTCGTAAAAAGGCACAACTCGTCTGATGATGAAATTTTATTAAACGTACGTGTATCATGGAAAATATTGCTTTTCTTTTCATATAGTCCAATTTGCTCGAGTGAGGGTAAACAGATCGTTTTGTTGCATATACTGTAATAACTATTAGACTATGTGTATTATATTTAGTGCTCTTTGAATTCCTTATGAGAATTCACATGTTTTTGTTTTACATATGTTTTTCTGTTGTTTTATGATTATCTGTAAATAGGTTTGACCATTTTATTACATCATGAAAATTTTTTCAAGTATAGTATTATTTTAATTTTATTCTTTTAAATTAACTTGCAACAATAGTGTTTTATAACAGTTTTCACCCTCATTTGAACAAATTAAAATAACAGCACCGCTGATAAACGGATTAAATCCTTAAAATAAAATTTGGTACTTCATAATCTTTTAGTTGCAAAATCCTAAAAAAATGAGAAGGCCAGTGAAGTAAGTAATATTGTTGTAAAAATGTATAAACTCATCAGAGACAACACAGCATCGTTAGGTTTTACATAGTTAGACCTAACGAATAACTTGGCTGTAATAATCTCTAGAAATCTCCCTTCTTAATCCGAGAAATCGTCGTATTTTTATAAGACTTCTAAGATAACTTAAACTAAATCAATTAGTTTAGAAATAAACGGCGATATTGGAGATGGAATATCTAGTTTTATCAATAATCAAAGATGCAACTAACATTTCAAAAATAAAATGACCTGTATCAAAATATAGGAAATTGTTAACCTTTCCACGGGGGTGAAACTGTTGCAGTTGATCTAGAGAGAGAGGGTGTTTTATGGTGTTTGCCCCTCCTCCCTCTCCCCCACTCACCCTTAACAACACCCTTGTTGTCAACATAACTTTTACAGTCATATCTACCATGTAGCAATCATAAACTTACCAGGTACATCTGTTAACAGGTACTCAAACACTTAGTTTCTTATACAACGTGGAATATACTAATTTTCTTGTTTATTAGTTTATTGAAAACAGATACAATTATCATGAAAATTAACTATTAAGGTTCTTACGTCACGCATTTTCATGTTTTTTTTATGAAGCAGCATTTTATATAGTGTATTGCATTTAAAATATATGCAAAAGTCTAACTAATTAACCAAATGTCACCAAGAAACAAATCTTCATGTTCACAAATACAATGGGTAGAACGAAACATACCATTACTTTTCATCACCTTTTTCAATTTTACGTTCATTTGTGTTTTGTTAGTAAACAAATCTAATAAAAAGTCTTTCAAAATCCCCTTAACTAGAACCAAACATATAGTTTATTCTTTAAAAAGAATTGACCTTTGCAATCTTTAAGTTGTTTGAGATACAATTTAACATTAACTACTTGACAACAAAATATATTATATATTTGTTCTGAGATTGCTTTCCATAAGTTGAATAAAATGTTAGGCAAAGTCTAAAATAACCTGCATTCTGTCTGTTTAAAAATATTATTCGAATTTTAGGAGACCATTAAGTTTATAAAAGCAGTTGTACATTTTTCAGTTATTTGTAGCCTTTCATTCATTAATACAAACGTTTAATTAATAGTTATTATACGATACGTGTTAACTTATTCATAGGTTGAAAGAAACATACCGCTACAATACATGGAATTAATCAAAAGCTAAAATCCTTTGACAATAACAAATTTCAAAGAAGAACTATATTACTTCCTGGAAATGAAATCAACACAAAAATCAGCACAATACCTATTTCCCTGTTTTTGCGTTTTATATGAATTTTGCGGGATATACAGTAAATTCAATATGCTCAATTTATATATTATTCAAATCGATACTTGTATAAAAATAATCATTGTAATCATGATAGAAAATTAATACAATTCAAACCTGAGTTCTAGAGATAGTCATGCTTTTTATTTAATGTATTTACATTTATGTTTCCTAGAGGATTTCTATTAAAAATGTGTAAAGACTTAAAACATATTTTAACCTATTAGGCTTCAAAGATCAATAACTAATGCTTGTTACAAAATATTTTCATATCATAAACAAAAGTTTAGGAACTCTCTCAATGTTTAAACATAGATTTTTATAATTGATCCAGTGATGTTGAAATACTTAACACATTGAGCTTGGTAATAATTATTTGTGTGATTGAAACCAAAAGCAGAACAGTGCAATTCATTTAGTTGCAATGTTTTCTATAACAAATACAAATCAGGTGAATTAAACTTCATTGAGTAATTTGATTTAAATAGTCTAGTCTGGTTTATTTTAATATTATGAATGTATCAATACTGAAAAAACATTGAAAAGTACTCCCTTTTGGTTTTGTCATTATCATGGATTAGATCAAGACAATTTCGGTTTGTTTATGTTTGATGATCTTTGTGTTGATGCCTTTTATTTCTTGATAAGATTTTTAAATAATTAGTGTAATAAAATAATGTATTTGTTTGCATACCAATGCATTGCCTTTTTTATTTCGGACATTAAGTAAAGAACAAATTGTGAGATTCACCATAAAATAATATAACAAATTCTCGACATAAGCGCACTTACGTTCCAAACAGGAACACACATAAAATTAAGCTTATCTTATTATAAAAAAGAGGTGGTTGCTGTATGTGTGTATGTGTGTATGGGAAAAGTAAACTCGAAAAATACTGGTCGGATTGGGCTGAAATTTGGCATGATGATAGCTCACATTCCCGATTAACATATAGGCATATTCTTATTTCAAAAATCCTTTCGGGCTCCGCCCCAGTGGCTCTGGAGTTTCCCATGTTATCCTTATGAGAAATGGAATTATTGAATCTTAACAGCTGTTTCAATTAAACAAGTTGGTTCCGTTCTATGATGTTCAATAGCATTAAAGTTACAAGGATTACCAACAGGGTGCAGCACTATTATTTCTTTTACATTTATGACAACAGCTAATTTGCAACCAAAAGGTGAGTGAGCGTAGCGAACGAACTTCAACCTGGAGGCGAGTTAGCGTAGCGAACGAGCTAACCTGAAGGCAAGTGAGCGCAGCGAACGAGCTCCAACCTAAAGGTGAGTGAGCGTAGCGAACGAGCTCCAACCTAAAGGTGAGTGAGCGTAGCGAACAAACTTCAACCAGGACGTGATTGAGCCATGCGAACGAGATAATCTTGAAAATTAAGAAGTTAAACGGGGCAAAGCCCGCGGATTACAGCTAGTTTCAAATATAGTCAAGCATGTTTTATTTCTCAGATATTGACTGACTTTAAAAATAGACAAAATCTCTATTTTTGAATTAAATCCTAACTTAAAGAAGAATACTGAGTATTCGGTTCAAAGAGAAGAGTACTGAGAATCCGCGAGGAATCGACAGTTTATTTTCGATATAACTCGAATATCGCGGCAGAAATAAACAATATATCGAGAAAACCAATCAAAACTTCTAACTCGTTTAAAGTTATCCACTCGCCTTGAATTCACTGAGGTCTTGGTTTTCTCCGAAGTAATACATTAACTTTGCGCAACATAATTAAAATACTTTGATAACTCTTTAGAGAGTACAACTCTCAGGTTGTGTTTGTTAAACTCTTTTTAGGAGGTTTATTGATTCTTCCAAAATTCTACCAAAGAATACAATGAGCAAATCTGCGTTAATCTATGTATCTATGTGTGTTATAAAAATATTACAGAAACTAACGGTTAACGAATTGTTATAATGTTAATTGTTTTTAATTAAAGTAATTGAATTAAGCTTATTCAGAAACGCAATTGTGTAATTTTTTGAGTATATTTTGTTTCGTGTTTTACATAAATTTGAATGTAACGATAAATTAGAAAAAAAATATGACTTTTACTTAGTTTGGTGCAAGGGCTATATTATATAAACGCCATGGAATACGACACACGAATTCATATTAAAAGCTCTGAGACACTTTTCCTAATCAATGATTTATGTATTGTTTGAAACTCCTTGACAATTAATCGTAATCCTAAATAAACAAAATCTATTATCAGCCTCTGATTAATTCATAAACACAATTCTTTGGATGTTGTTCTATCAATATATAACAGATTTACATTAAAATCTCGGCAATAATGTCAAGAATAGATTTATCACTTCAATTCTCGAAATAATCAACCAACCAAAGTTTCAAAACAAATTGACTCTATGCACTGGACAGTTCAAACATCACCTACCATGAACTGCATGGTATAGCTTTTTTTCCCTCCAAGGTCAAGGTCAAAGATAATTGACTTCCAAGGTCAAGATCAAAGGTAATTGACCTCTAAGTTCAAGTAAAAGGTAATTGACCTCCAAGGTCAAGTTAAAAGGTAAATGACCTCTAAGGTCAAGGTCACATGTAAGTGTCCTCCAATGACAAGGTCACAGGCAATTGACCTCCAAGGTCAAAGATCATTGACCTCTAAGTTCAAGGTAAATTTGTCCTCAACTCTCATGGCGTCTACTCATACGTTAGTAACCTTTCCCGAAGATAGCTCATGGAATATGCCTCTTAAGACATTCCTCAAGACTTCCCATATAGCACAAAGATTATCAATGTATCTTCCTCATTTCGAAGACTAATAAGTTTAGTAATTGCGTAAGAGTGTCACTTACCTTATTCTCAGATAGGTCCTTATTCTTACTGCCAGTTCCTGAAGCGATCAGTCTTTCGCAGTAGCATCCTTCTAGAAGGATAACTCCGGAAGGACGACTGCAGGACTCTGTATCGTAGTAGAAAAGAATGTTCTGAAACAAGACGAGGAATTACTTATTACTTACGTCAATATTGCTTAGAACAGGGTCTGAGACAAGACCCGATGAATAATAATGACAAAATTCTTTGTATTAGTAGTAGCAACATATTTGAAACTGGAGTTCCGTTTTACAAATTTTTAAACGAATATGTAGTAGGCATTTCGTAGCATATATATACTTAATACGATACGGGGTTTTTCTGTTACATCCCTTACTGATCAGCCCCTTAAACATATGATCTAGTGACGAATTTGAACCAAAATGGTGATGTAATTTAGGGCTTCACCCCCTGATACTTATTTTAAATTCTTAACCACAGATAGTACACAAGAGGCGAAAAGTTGGTGAGAATGGACTTTTCATAAATCCATGGCTTCTATGTGACCGAAGCTATTTTAGTGATGATTGTAACCTGATTGGGGTTGGTAAATCAATCATTGTGGTATAAATCATAATGAACAAATTTAATTTATTTAGGGATTAGTGAATTAGGAGTTATGTTAACCTGATAACTGGCTTAAACAAGCATAATCTTTGTAAGATAAAAGGGTATCAGTATTTGGTATGCATCGGAGACTAGTATTGAACTCTTTTAAAATGTAAAATTTGTGGTCGGGGTTGTTAACAAATATTTGGGTAAAAGAATACTTTTATAACAATTCATTTACAAATTGAGCTAAAATACATTTTCTCTTAAGGTGTATCATATTTTGTATGTGTAAAATCTGTACCATTTTCCTTATTAGAATACAGCTTCGAAAATACATTCCCACAATCATTGGAAGACCTACATACCAAAACACACTTCATGATTCAACAATGGAAGAGATGGTAAAAAAAAATATCGCAATAAAATACGGCTTCACGAAAGAGAAATTTTTCTCTTATTGTTTCCTTCTCGCTCTTATTCTAATAAATCGATTAATTCTACCGAGATCTTAAATTCAAAATAATACTAAGGTAAATAATAGTTTTAATTTATAGTTTGAAACTAATTAGATTTTCATGGAATGCAGGGATCTGTTTCGTAATAAACTACACGCTAGGCTACAAGTTCTAACGTGTAAATTGTAATTTCCATTATATCTGCATTGCGCGATCAGCTGATTTACTAACAATATTACTTTGTTGACGCTGATCGTTAAGTTGTGGAAATTATTTCATTGATGCATAATGCGGTTTACTAATAATAATTAAATAGCCTTAAACCAAATCAAAATTGATTTGATTTTATCTTTATTCTAGTAAATATTCAGGGTATTTGGACAGGATACAGAAGCATCCATTACACTAGTAAGAGTTCATCAGTCTGTATCCTAGAAGAATATGAGGTCCAGAAACAGGAGATGAAATAATAATCATGGAAATATGCTGTATATTTTTCTTTAATATGCTGTAGTAAAACAGTAGATTCTCTTGCAGGAAGTGAAGATGGATAGATGGCTTAAACTAAATGTTAAAAAATACTACCTATGTGTAGAAAGAGAAGAAGAAGGAATACCAAAAATTCAAATAAAAGCTTACCGGTATATCTTTACTCAACATTTTTCTCAGGGTTAAATCAAATTAATATTATTTCGGTTTGGTAAAACAATTATGCACTCAATTCATTTACTGTATATCGTTTATTCAATCTTTGTGTATGATTGTCATTTATATATCAGCAAAGGTTTCAGCATTCATAACGCAATACATTTAAAGTCTTAAGCTGCTTTAATGAAGATTGGCATGTTTTTAAAAACATTCGCTGTTTGCGCAAAAACTTGCCACCGCATAAGACATTGCTTAAATGAGATTTGTGTCGGCTTTGCGGAAAAGTTTACTTGTTGACGCAACAAGAGGAAAATGTTTTGTAAAAAACCGCCTGAAGTTGACAGAAATGAAATGAGAATCATTCCATAACGTACAGTAATGATTTAGAAAGATGAAGTGGATTTGTGGAGGTACTTCACAGATTTGTCAGTGTTTGATATTGGAAAATGAGCAAACCTATATTGAGACTTATAAACGAAGAGGAACATGTGCAAATTGAGCATTCTAATAGAGTGCTAAACTGCGAGGTAAAACGAACCCAATGCAAAACCCTTCAATGCATTAACAATTAAGTTAATTAAGGTAATAAGGTAATGTTAGATTAAGGCAATACTTATTGTGTGAAAATAACTAATAATTTATATTAAATTAGATTTATTGACTTTATATCTCTACTATAAAGAGTGACCTACGTCAATCAGGTTACAATACTCAAAAAGGTTTTATATCCTATTTAAAATCCATTTACATAACATCTTTGATATTTTTTTCACAATCTGTCTGTGGCTAAACATTCGACTTAGACCAGCTGTTAAATTAAAATACAAATTTTAAACGAATCTTAGAAATAACTGAAACGCAAGTGGGCGAAGCCCTATGGGTATTCTTATTCGTTACAATTATTCTCTCCACTACTCCAAACTAATGGTAAGCTTCTTTACTTTACTTAAATTCTTTCTTTACTTTACTTCTTTACATTTGGTAGTTTTTTTTATTTATTTTTATTCAAATTATCTATTTTAATAGATCAAACACATTGTTCAATTACTTTTATGAACACAATCCTTCTAAATTTATTTACCAAAAAAGCATATCCAACAAATTAACTCAGTTATAACTAATATTTTATATTTTAAATCACAGGAAGCCGAAAATATCAATTTTGCGTTGTTTTGTAATCATCTAGAACTTCCACGTGTACTAAGTTTTTATTATCCTTATCCATAAAGTAGTTAATTAATTTTTGTTTCTATTCTTAGCAGTGAATAAAATATTCTAACTTTAGTCTTGTAAGATGTAGGCTACTATTCAAAATTTGTGTTTTTAGAAACATACATAAAGCCATAAATATTATTATTATATTATTGCTACATATTATTTTTGCAGTTTTCTTTATACTTCTGTAGATTTAACACCAACAATTGTCAACACCTAGTCTGGTCAAACGCTGACTTGGACATGAAAGGGATTTTATAGAAAATATTATTACATCGGGGGAGCAGTGCGAGAAAGAGGGTTGTACAAAAGCAGGTATTTGTCAACTACGTTTCCGGCCCGCTGCTCCTCAAGGTAGTTGGCTCGGAAAATTCACATTGAACGAGATTCTGAAGAAAATCTTTTACTTCGGCGGAAATAAATTGTAATTTTAGAAAAATACCGATTTGAAAGGATGGTTCATACGCAATTTTAATTGTGTACATAAGTAAGTAATAACTAGGTTCGGTCGTGATCACATCATAAACAAATTGACACATACTTTCTCCAATTTGCTTGTCAACAACCCTTATAATGGGTAAGTGGTGGGAGTAACTTGATTTTTATGGGGAAATCACAAAAAATGCAATGACTTTTGAACCTTTCTTACAAAATTTGAAGTTTTATAATTTTGTTTAGAGTTTAAGGCCATAACATATAGATTTACAATAAATAAACATTATTAAAACATACTAAAAGGACACACACACTTCACACATAACTTCGAAATCAGTTTTTGGGTTTCAGGGACCGTAAGATGAATAATTCAACCCAATACTTGAAACTCGAAAATGTTGACGAAAACGATACTTTCACTATGTATAGTCGGGGAAGTTAAAGGCCTGAAATGGACATTAAGTTGTACTTAGAAGCCATTAAAATATATTTTTACAAGATACTTTCTGAAAAAAAAAATAACTATTAGAATAATTGTCTCCTCATAAATCCAAAAATTTCACCAAACAAAACTATGAAATATTAAATCTCTTCTGTAATTTACTATAAAGGAAGTAGTCATAAAAAAATTATTATTGGTAAATAATTTTGATGTAAAATTTTAACCCGAGATGTTTTTACTCGATTCCTTCTTGTAAGAGTTATAGAATATCCAACGCCTAAGGTTCGTTGTTTACATATTACATAATTGCACGCTATGCAACTTTAATATAAAAAACCTTTTTAAATTATTACACTATCAAAAATATATCAGAGTATATCTCAATTAGTTCCCTGCAAATTAAATGTGTTTCAAAATGATAAAAGTAAGTTTATTCATGTGCTAATTTGAATTTTAAGATAGTGACCTAAATAAAAACTCAATATATTGGAAGAGCAAAAAACAATAAGTGAAGAAAAATAGCTCTTCTGTGAAGACCTCTTTCTTGTACTAGAATGTATTATATTATCTCTTCCATTATTGAATCATAAGGTGCATTTTGATATGTAGGTCTTCCAATGATTGTTGTGAATTACATTATAGATGTAGTATTCTTATACGGAAAAAGACATTACTTAAAAATACAAATTTTGACGTGCCAAAAGTGATATTTTGTGTTTTAGCACTATTCAATGAAGTATAATACAGTTATGGTTTTAACACCAATAATAGTCGTCGATATGGAATTTTAACTAAAAATTCTTTACAATAGTAACGGTCAGAGTGCTTCGATTTTACTATACAGTTGGATATGATTAATATTTAACCATGAATTAAAATGTAACATAAGTACCATTGAGTCATCAGGGCAAAGCGAGGTCACAGAGAACAATTAAATATTGTTAATTACTTAAAACCTTTTAACATCGTCGCATGCCATCAAACTTACAATGTGATATCATGCGATGTCAAATGTCAATATCACTTTCCACTTCCACAAAGTTCATTAGTTCATGTGATATGGATATTTTTCAAATATCGATTCACATAACATTGGGTGGTGTGAATAAAAACTAGTATTTGCTTAAACTAAGCTGATTTCAAGTATATTCTAAGTTTTAGGTGAATAAAAGCAGTCAGAATATACTACCCCTAGTAAATTCTAAGATCATCAAATGACTAGAATATTCTAACCTTTGTAGGTGAATAAACGGTAGTTTTTACTAGCCAGGGCTAGTATATTCTTAAAGATTTTTAAGCTAGGGGTAGGCAGGCTAGCATTCTGGTGACGGAGGCCAAAAAAGGGTTATCAGTCATCGTGGCTATGTTTATGCATGTACGGAATAGAAAAACGTACTCTGTCAGGCGTGTACATTTACTGGAGTAGAAGCATGTGCACTTGTAAAGTCCCCCATACAGTGCTTGCTTCTTGAACAAAAATTTAAGTTTTTTATGTTTTTTTTTAATATTTTTTTTTATTTATTACAAATCTTGGATATTGGGTAGGAAATAGAAGTTGGGAGACTTTAACAATGTTTATAAAACAATGTATTTATTTCCAAAGAAGCCGTCAGTGCCATTGTCGCCCATAATCATGTCACTTCCAATAGAGTTCTTCGGGTGTTTAAGTAGTTCCAAGTTCCAACTGTAACGTTTCCTTTTAAATTTGAATTTTAATCAGTTTGATCTGCTGTAGCAGTACCAAACGTTGAAGTTCCGGAAGTGAGAGATCTTTGGTTTCTTCTGTTTCATTTTTGTTTATCGTTCCGTTTTCCTCATCTTACACTTGAAAGTTTGCGTCATCTTAGTATTTTCTAGGCCTAGTTTGTTCTAACCTGTTAGAATATACTAGGAATTGCCAAATGATCCAAGTATATTCTAACTAGTCTTAGCAAATTCTTATTCACCTCGTTTTGAGAATAAGCTAAAACTAGTTAGAAAATACTAATAAGAATTTACTATTTTTAATCACTTCACTGATTGTGGACAGCTGATTTGTCATAACAGCTGATTTGTGACATCTAATGCACATTATCGCAATTAAATGTTGATGTTAATGATGTCTGCAGTATGAATGTCACATGGAGGATTCAGACGTTGTGATGTCCATACAGTTTAAACATTCTTCACCAATCCCAAATATAATTACTGAATACCTGAGGTTTCATCGATAATCTATTTTATTTTAAAGAAAAATAAAACAATTCCCCGTTTTTTAGCAAATTTCCCATATAGGGAAGAAGTTATTACCGTCTTATGGTAAGACCCGGAACCGATTTACTTTTTCGTTTTGAGGTCCCCAGAGGCCAAAAACATATATTCAAATTAATATATTCTTCAGTCGCAGTTATCAACTATTTAAATGAGCCATTTTATTTTTAGTAGACCTTCTTGTGATTATGGTGATTTGTCGTCCCTTTAAACATAGCTTAAACTTATTAGGAACATCTAATAAAAGATCCTGGAATATATTTTACATCTTTAGATCTTAAAGAAATTTCTTCCAGCCCTATACTTTTTAAAGTTGTAAGTGGTCTACCACTTTCATATGTATTAGTGAATCTCGCTGTTGGTTTATACAGTACTATACTTCAAGTATTGGCATCCCAATGCCCTAGAGACGTGTTTTTACAGTATATGAAAAATTGTTGACTAAACAATCCCCACCTAAACTTATCAAACCGCTTTAAAAGTCCACTCATTTCAACACTATTAATTCTTATTTGCAAAGTTTGCAATCGACGAGTCTAGAGTGTTTGTGCACAGACTGTCCCTATTGTTATCCACACAATAGAACCGAGATGTTAATCAGTCTCTTTGCAGCGGACCTGACTGTACCGAGCTACCGATATTTCTGAATGTTCCCCTTTATAAGGGATTTCAATAGACAATTTTAAATCAAATCCAATCGGTGAATTGAATTGATATTACTTTAATACTTATTAAAAGTGATGCCGACTTTCAAAAAACTAATTCTTTACTCTTTGCGTTTTAGTTTAGCTTTAAAGCTTCAGGTAGTCAACAATAAATCAATCTGAAGTGTTTTACGAAATTGTATTCATATACCTAGCTTTAAGTATTCAGATTTTAAGAAAGACCGTCTTTCATGTGTTCATAGATGACGCTACGTTATATTTTATTCTCTCTTGATAGTATTGAAAAACGAGGGAACCCGTGTGTGAATTGAGCAAGTTTATAGGCTTCAGAGATCACAGAACAGATTTTATAAAGGCAGATTTTATAATGAAAACAACTAATTAACAAAGATTGTAACTGTAGATGTATACCATAAGATTTATTTTCCTACCTCTGTTAGGAGACAGTTATCAATAAAAGTACCTTCATTATCATTATTATTATTATTATTATTATTATTTTGGTGCCTTCGGCTGTCTAAATCTGCACACTCTTGTTGAATGCTCAATTAAAATACGTTCTTTGTTAAACTAACCCTTCTGACCTGGTGTAGGACGAAATAGCACTGTTGCCACTTCGTGCAGTCAGCCATCTTCTTACCACATTCAACAACTGTCAGCACACTTTGTAGATGATCTTAACTTCCATCATCATGAGTCTTAACTTTCATTTTCATTCTTATCCGGCTTAAACATGTTAATCAGGTCTACCAACCTCATGGTGGACGAAATAGCACTGTTGCCACTTCGTGCAGTCAGCCATCTTCTTACCACATTCAACAACTATCAGCACACTTTATCGATGATCTTAACTTCCATCATCATGAATCTTAACTTTCATTGTCATTCTTACCCGGCTTAACATGTTAATCAGGTCTACCAACCTCATAGAGGACGAAATAGCACAGTTGCCACTTTGTGCAGTCAGTCGTGTTGTACTATCAGCGCACTCTGTCGATGGTACATCTCAACATTTACATTCTTATCATACTTCAATATGTTAATGGTCTATGTACTAACCTGATAGAGGACGAAATAGCACAGTTGCCACTTTGTGCAGTCAGTAACATTCAACAACAATCAGCGCACTCTATCGATGGTTCATCTAAACATTTTCACTCTTACCTAACTTCGACAAGTTAATGGGATGTATACCAACCTGATAGAGGACGAAGTAGCGGAGTTGCCACTTGGTGCTGTCAGCTGTCTTCTTGTGTAGATAACCCTTGACAGAATGGTCGTAGCTGGCGCGCTCCGACAACATGATCAGCTGTATGTCGTTGACGCGGACCGTCCGCTGCATCTTGGGGCTCAACATGGCGCTGCGTCGGCCAGTCTTCGGCTGACCTGCGAACAGTCATTGTAATATTAGTATATTTGACATAAGTTTGAGAAAAACGGTGCTCATTACTCGGATTATTGTAGGACAATAGTAGCTGAAAACATAGTGACGGTTTGTAACCTTTATATTTTTCAGTCTTCGCTTAAAATCAAGTGGGGACTCCCTCGAGCTAAGAGGTGACATCCATTTCTACAATATAAGTAGGAAAATGATCTGAAATGACAAAATCTTAGGTTAAGTAAGGTTCAGATGTCAAATGATGGTCTTAGTTACAAGTGTTTTAATAAACAACCTTTTGTAGCTCGGAACATGTCAGTCCCAAAATTGCGGAAAGGGGTTGAGGAGCTCCTTTGTACAAGGTAAAAACATTTTTTTCTATTTAGAATAAGCCTATGTAAGTAGATTTAAAAAAATTTAAACCTAGTGCTGTTTTTTTTCTCTCTTTCGTTTATTTATCTGCATCGAGAGTTTCAGGAAATTGTTTATATTGGTTAGAAACCTTGTCCTTTTTTCTTGTTTTAAGCTTGACGTTTTGCAGTATTGTAATCTTGCATTTTGTTGATATAATTTTGGCTCTTTTACCTATTGTGGGGTGTCCAGGATGTTTCAGGATCAGATATTTGATAGTTAAGACATATCATCCTGTAGAAACCCCTTTTCAAGAACTGGTTAATTATATTATGAAGTAGCAGTCTGCTTTAATTTGTGATGATTTCATTCCCATTTTGAAGTTGTTGTCAAAATAGACATAGTTGAAGTGAGTCACCAACAGATTGCGTTGATGTAAATTACTGATTTATGTTAAATATTTGGTCTTTTTAACTAAGAAAAACTTATAGGATAACTTATTGTAAGCTACAGCATCTTATATGTCACCTACTAACAACTATCATCCACTATCACAGTAACAAAAGTAATTAAGGTAGACAACAGAGTTATAGACACTAGCACAATCTGTGACTCGCTCACTCACAATGTTCTTTTTTTATACAAAATTAGTGTCGCCCGTCCATGTGATGTCTACTTCAGTACTCAAAAGTCAATGAATATAGTTAACATAAGAGGAAGGGTCTTTGTTCATTAATACAACTGTTTGGGTAGTTGATAAGTCATAGTGGTAGCCTAGCAACCAAAAGGTGACTGGTTCGATCCTGAGAAATCAGAATTGTTTAGATTGATCGAGAGAGTCCAGATCCCCTCTTCCCAACTAGTAACACAGCTACAAACTTAATCTCACTCCAACTCTCTGCTCATTCTGTATTAGAAGAAATAGTATTATACGAGCTATGTTGTGTAGAAACATTCCCAATGCATTAACAATGCATAAACATTGACGAAAGCTCTGCGTTTCGGGAAACTGCTGATATAAAATACCTCAAACAATAAAGAGAAGAATGAACCAATAAAGTTGTCAAGAGTTGTTAGACGCCAAAAGTTGAAAATATCAAAAACAAAACAGTGAAACTTCAGCGGTCGGAATCGTTATTTGAGAATTTCTCTCTTTGTTACGTCCAATAATGCTTTTGTTTGTTGTAAAAGGTACTATTTTAATAGTTGTAGACCTGCAACATGTCTTTATTCATATTGTTAATGTAGCTAGATTTTTATAAAAACTAGACCTTAGGTATTAAGGCCGTATTTAAAGGGAAAACATACTGAATTGTGTGAAAATGCAGAGATTTCAGCAAACGACACATTTAAAATTGCAATTTTCATCAAATAAAAATATTTGATAAATATTTATCAAATAAAAGGTATCAGAAAACTAAAACATGCATTTTAGCTTTTGGACCATATTTAATTTATAAAATATTGGGGGTTGTACTCATTGTATGGGAAATCACTATTAATAATGAGAATTTCGAAGAAAATGGAAAATAAATGCCTGGTGATATAGTGATAACATACCAAATTTCACCAAAGACGGACCACAGTTGTAACATGTAGCTCTTACACATCCATTATACATCGATGTGCACACCTGCACACACATATACACTCACACACACACACCCCGAAACCATCACTTCTAAAACAGAGTTCTGGGGGCCAAAGAGGTATTAAACTTAAAACTCCGACTAGAAATTTTTACGAAAACAGTACTTTCTCCAAATACTATGTATAGAGAGAGAACGAACATATTTGTGTGAAAACCTATGTACGATGATTATCATGCATCCCCATTTAAAATTATAACCTTAGAGAATTGTTTTAATCAACTGAACTTTTTAGTGTTGGGTAAAACACATGCAAATCAATGATTGTTTATCAATAAGTTACATACAGACTTTTTGGAAAGGGGAACTCATTTTACAATAGTTGAATAGCAAAAGCACGATAATATCATCTGTTTTAGTCATTCGTAGCAATAGCTTCAAGTATTTCTATTTTAAAACGAACTACATACGTAGTTTCCTTGTTGGATATTTTATGCAGTCTTCATCCCTTCATCTCATAGAAATAGAAAACACTTATATAAAACAAACTTGAACAATACAAGTCTCAAGTAGAGTTCCAATTTTCCTTTTAAAATAATTTCAGATTCCTATTTTAGGAAGTTGAGGTAAAACATAAAAAATTTTAATTTTTAACTTATTTAATGTTGATAATTTATTTTGTCTTCATCTAGAAATAAACGTGTTATTTTGACATGTTATATGTTTGGGGAAAAAATGAACATAAAACTGTAGATATTATGCTTCTTTCAAGTAGTGAACATAAATTAATGTTGAAATTAAATTCTAGTTTCCTCGTCTACATGAATTTATATTGAAACAATGTTTTCTAAAACGAGTTATTATACCTCTTCACATCATTGCACCTCTTCAAAAAATAATAATCTGTCGAAAGATTTTATTCAGTTCTTCCTTTGCTGTTTTGAATTGAACAACCTAAATATCTCTAGAATTGGTAGATTTGTTGGGCTTAAGCTTTTTCAAAACGTCTTTTAGGTATAGAAGTAATGACGTAATTGAGCCATGCGAACGAGCTCACTTGTGAAGTTAAACGGGGCAAAGCCCGCGGGTACAGCTAGTCGTTGAATAAAGCGTCTAATTGAAATCAATTTCAATTTAATTCCTTTTATTGATATTACTGCCTTTTGAGTAAGTAGAAGTATCAATACAGTATATTCGATGTGATAGACAGACGTTTGTAGTTCATTCATAAGTCAAGCTTATAGATTATATGCAACTTCAAATATAGCTGATTGGTTAAAGTGTTCTTCTAACAAAACACATCTCATTAGCTTGACCCTGAGGAAAGTCAGAAATTTTCTTCAAATTGAAACTCAAAACAGCTGTGAGCTGTGCTTGATCAAACCTAACAGCTGATCTTATTCAGTAACGGAGCCACACAAGGTGCACTCAATTCCACACTCATCTTCCACTTTTTGAGGTGGAAATATACTAAGTTATATTCTAATATCGATTGGTAATATAATGACACTATTGATATACAAAATAACAAAATATCTTTCATTTGGTACCAACCGTGTGTAACTCTGCCCAGTGGTATGGTCAGGCTAGCTGTCATAAGTTTTTTAGTGTATAAGATATACAATACACTTGTTAAGCTGTTTGGGAATTTTCCTAGAGGTGATATTCCTAGAGGAGCGTCGGCAATGCTATATCGCGTGCGATCCCAAATTGTCAGTCAAGTTCATCTGTTTCTTTGTATAAGCTCTCACGTGCTCTGGGTTATGGCATCACTTTTAATACAGGGCCGCGGTGTTGGTGTGTGAAAACGTCGCACTGGCCTGTTGTCATAGTAACTGCAATAACGTGTTAACATAAACGATCACATACGCTACATTATTAGTGCAACAGCTGTTTTGGTAGGCCGGGGCTTGGGCCGGGGCTGCAGTGTTTCCACTTTTGTCTCACCGTGTAATTTTCCTCATCCGTAAGGGTGGTGGATTATGTTACTGACACTGGCGTACCAGGATGTGTATTTATTAAGCAAAGATGAATAAGGATAACTATCGAATGAGAAGGGTAGTAGCTTAGTTACTAAAATCAGCTGGTTCTTCTGCTTAGACTATTTTTAAAAGCCTAATAATCTGGCAGATGGTCCAGTTTTTAACCATCGAAAAGCTATTGCCTTTTGTCAGGGACGAACCGGCAAGCTTAGGTTTAGAAGGCAAGTCTGATACCAATCACTTCGAATATTGTACGTCTTGTTTCAATATAATACAAATCAATAATCAATGTTAGTGTATATTTACTCTTAACATAGCAGAAAAGTTTTTTTACCGTGGTATTTTATTTTTTCAAATTCTAACTTGCATGTAGCTTGTTAACACTGTGTGTATTTATGAAAATGGTGTTGTAAAAATTTGGTTTACCGTTTGAATAAATAAATAAAATCTGGAGCCCGATCGAAGTAAAATTCTTGTCCAGTTATACAGTCAACAACTATATTTTGTTCTATCTAAAACTAATATTAATTTTCGCTTTGAAGGTAAGTGAACGTGTTTAAATATTCAAATCCATACAACCTTCAGAATTAGTTGTAGTTGAAATCAGAATGGATAACTGATTGACAAAATATTTAAAAACACAATATATTCTTATCTTTTTAGTTCAATTAAATGGATATGTTTCCATCGATTGTAAGCACTAAATCTCTGATGACTTCATGAAGAAGCTTCCAAAAGTATTTGAACGCAAACTCTTCAACACAAAAAAGTGAAATGGTTTAAAAGTGTTAAAATATATATATATATATATATATATATATAATTTAATTAATGTAATATGTTTACCAGCTCCGTGAAGCGCTGAATTGCGTTATTAAAAGCTCAGGTTTCCATCACAGGATTACTTGATGCTGATTGGGTGCATTTGTGCGAATATTTTGGTTTTACCAATTCATTAGAACAATTTTGTTTTCATATTTTATTTTTGTAACGTCGATCCAGATTTTTGTATAGAACCTGTCATAATCATAAAGTAAAATTAACTTGTCTTTGCCTAACAGCTTTAGTTTATTAATTGTTAATGTTTTTAGATTTGTTTATAGATTAGTAAGATAACAAGATGTTTCCTAAGCAATGGAATTGATCGAAGTATTTTAAAAGTTAAGCTTTTGAAACTAAGATTGATAGGCCTAAACGTTGTGATACATTTCTACCATATAGAAATTTTTACCATATAGATCATAAACATAAATGGCGTTACTGGACCAAATAATATACTGATAACATTAACATATGGTTTGACCAGTTTCATTTAAATTTGATATACAAACATGCTTACTTTAATATGATGGCCAGTGACATCATTTGTTTATGTTTGTGATCCATACTTTTGCTGTTATAATATTCGTGATTCATACTAAATTAATTTACTAATTTGTTATTCTTCTTTAGATCTTGTAGATTACTGTATACAGCGTGATTGAAAAGTTCAGGAACAGTGTAAAATATTGTTATGCCATTATAGATAAAGTACTGAGACTTGGTATATCAATAACCATAAATGGCTACTCGTTTAAGCTATTGTCACTGTTTATCACTTTAAACACCACGAGGAGTCAGACAAAATTCTTGAATAGCAGCATAGGTCGAGTTTGGTAAAGGTTCTAGTTAGTATAACGTCAGAGTAATATAACACATTGCCACAAACCCGAATTTAAACGGAAAACCGAGTCAAAAATGGCAGCCGTTTGAATATTTCTTGAATCTGCCTTTTGGCTGCAATTTGCTTATTTCTAAATATAATATAGGAATCATTGTTGTGGTGACAATACTAGTTAAATACAATGTATGGATGGAAAAAGGATTTGGCAATTTTTTTCTGAATTTAACAGTAATCCGGCGGCTGTAGATAAATCTTGATGTAGCATAAATAAAAAAAAATGTTTTTCGAAAGTATCAAGATTAATTTAAGAACACAATCAGTTTGATTATTTAAAAATTTACCAATGACAAAAAATTATAACACAGGTTGGAAAAAGTAGAGCTAATTAATTTTAAAACAAGTTAGCCTATAAAGAAAATTATTTGCGGAAAACTTCCAACAACTTTTAATCCGGTTAAGTTTTATTAATTCTAGAAAATTGATGTCAGGTTTGTCTTACAGTTTGCGTCAAACTTGTCTCGATGTCAAAGTGAGGTAAGACCGGGTGTAGATGGCTCCTAAAAGTTGTCACTTTTTATCAACTTTCGACATAAGACACTGGAGTTGAGTAACATCAAGTTGGGTTCCTCTAAAAAAGGAAAACTCTCAAGTGTCTCCCGAAACTAACTTGGGACTTTGGAGAATACGTGTCATTTTTCTACTGTATAAAACGTCGATAACTTTATTAGTCTACAGATTAAAGGTTTACTTGTAATGAAAAAAATTGAAATTATTTATGTATAATTGGGTGTTCTGGTGGGTAATCAAATTTTTGAACCATCCTTTCTCATGACCATATGGGGATTCATGTAAACGCGAATGAGAAGGATATTTTAAGATTCTTATTGAGAATTCATGTAATTTTTCTACTGAGTAAAATTATGATAACTATATTAGATGTTGTACAAATCAAAGGCTCAGTTTTAGTAGTCAAATGGATCTACTTTGTGGGGGGGGGGGGTGCATAATCGTTGATTTGGAGGGGGGGGGGTCGTGCAAAATGTGATACAAAGGGAAATTTTCCAATATGGTAACCTGATTGTTTTGTTAAAATAATGACGGACCTCGAGATCGTGCTCTGAGTAGAATATAATTTAGAGTGGGGTGTAACGGGGTATAAGAGTAATGTTCACCAAAGCAGAAATAAACATACGTTAATTTGAAACTGATTAACAGACGTGTTTCATTTTACAGCTACTTGATACCAGATTACAATAGAAAATTTTCCAGGTTTTCTCTAAAGTTTGGATCAAACGGGAAAACCAACGATTAAATTAATGTTCATCTCTCAGCTCGGTATGACAAATTGGGATTGGGTAGGGGGCCCAACGATTTTTTGTTCAAATTAAAAAATAAACTTACTTAAAGGTATTTTTTATGCTAAGCTCATTGGTTACAGATATTTACAAACGATAAACACAATATTTCGTTTTAAAAGTTATTGATCCTTATAGAGGATAAAAAGATTGTTATGCTATAGATCGAAATACAAAAATCGATCTTCATATGATAGTTACTTGACAAAACTGTATAGATTTATACAATTGTTTCATTTCATGAAGGATTTGAAATTTAAAATTGTTTTGAAAGTCTGGAGGTTTGCTTATGTGTATTTTAATATAATTATCTATGGTTAAAGATAAAAAAAATTACAATGTCATACCTACGAAGAATGGGTTCTCTACTATTTAATAACATTAGGTACTAATGAGGTACAGCAAATGCATTATACTGCCTGCACTTTAGGATTAAATTCCATTGTTGATTTAGCAATGTTTTGTAAACATTAGTTTATAGATTAGCTTGTTTTGGTTGAACTGATTATGTTTCAACTTTCAACACATTGTGCTGGAAAACTAACATTACCTTGATGTGTTTTAGTGACATATAATCCCGTCATGTGGTGTTATTACTTGGAAATAGTGTATTTAAGCTGAATAATACAAGGAGAGTATAGAATGGTTTGAAATAACCTGTGAAGATTTTCTATTTACTATTATCAGCTGTTTATTTTTACAAGGATTTATTAAACATCCTATTATAAAAAACAGCTGTTTGGTTTAATTTCTAGTACAGTACATGAAAAAATATCGTCTCTAAACCCAGATTGCTTATAGGCTATATCAATATTAATGATGCTATTTCACAATTAGGTCGACGTTAGATAGTAAAAAGACTAGGAGTTGAAATATTCCCTCTAATAGCATACAAACTTAACATTTATTTACAGTTAAAAATGTAACAAAAGTTAACCAAATTGACCAAGCTGACACCCATATTTACGCCAGCAAATGCTGAAGTATCCATTTTAAATCTCTTAAATCCTCGAAAACGTCCTGAGAAACATCCATTTGGAAAACGAGACTACAATGAAAGATTGTACCTTGTACCATTTATCACAGTTTCATTCGTCATTGAATCCTGCCCTGTTGTACTCTTACACTTGAATTAATGATTCACAAAAGTGAATAAGTATGCGTTATAGTGTCACTAAAATTAAAACTAGTAGGAAAAAAATGAAAATGTGAAATGTGATCAGAGATCTTCAAAATACAGACAGCTTTCTCCATGACTTAAAGACTGATCTGGTTTAACACCTAACAGATGGATCCTCAACGTGGGTTCTGAACCACAGGGTTATGACATTATCATTGAGTTAACGACAAAATTGTCGATTTATGGGATCCAACCCAAGCCCTTAAGTCACAAATCCTGCGCCCTTTCCCAATATTTGAGCAATACTTCTGTAATACTTTTTTTAAACTTTACTTGTTTATATACTTACCATACATTCCTTAAGGTACGGTAAAACCTGTTGGGGGTTTTAAATTGATTCGGCTTAAGCATTGAACTTCTTGTTTTTAGCGTGTTTAAGAAATAATTTAAAGTGTCAATATTAAAATCGTATTTGGGAACTCAAGTTGAATGAAGGCACCTACCTAAATGGGTTATTTAAAAATTCAAACTACCTTCGGAGGTCAATTAAGGTATTTAAAATGGTCGAGAAATGGCAGATACAATAATCACAAAAAACTTTCAAAGAAAAAGTCATAAACATTTTTAATATTAATATGCAAACAATTTAATTCCTTTCAAGCTTTCCCAAACATTTTTTAACAAAACCAAGAGATGACTTTTTTTCTTTTACTAGATCGATAGCCTGACAAAGGTGATTGGATACAAACTCTGTTAATTCATCTTTATTAAAAAAATTTTTGATGAAAAAACCATATAAGACCCCAATAGGTGTTTACTGTTTACTTATTGAATTAATTCAGAACAAGCAGAGACAAATAAACCAGAAGGTTCCTGACCTCATAGTGTAACTTGAAGCCCTTGACTCCCTCATAGCAAAACCAAAAGCTCAAGCAAGCCCTAATGCACCAACTGCGATCACTTATAGATACAAATCAATTTGTAAAGTGCTGACCAGGGTTCGCCTGGTGAAATTAACACTACTAAAAGGTCAAAAAGTGCTAAAAGAACTCACGTAAGTCTAAATATCTTACCTTGAGACTTTATCAAACTACTACTACTTCTAGATTCAAATTCATTTGCAAGCCTTATTTGCGATTAGTTTCACAAAATGACACCTACCAATACAAAACCTCCAGAGCCTCTATAAACACAAGAACACAAACATTTTATTCCCTTTAAAACACTAGATAGCAAAATTATGATCACTTCTAGATTTATTTGCAACCATTGTTCACAAGACTACAAAGATCAAAAGATACAAATACCCAAATAATTATAAACATTTTATCAACCCTAAGACTCGCCACTCGCAATTTAACATATATGATTATGCCTACTTCTGGTACGTAAATTAGTTTGCAAGTGAGATTAATATTTAACCAGGGTCAGGAACTGACACCTACAAAAACTCTCTCGAAAGAAGTTCCACTATTATTAACAATCAGTTATCAAATTTGAGGCTCTAGTGTTATAATTAACCTTAATACTTTAGTGTCATTATTTTGATTACAAAAGTGCAAGTTACTGACCAGGGGGACGCAGCGACCGTGGTCGGCGTTGGCCGTATCACATGTTGCAGCTCCGACCTCCGAAGGCGCACAACAGGTAGTGGCGGCCGTGACGTCAGAACTGCCCTGCTCTCCGATTGGTCGACAGCGCGCCGTCGCACCTACGCCACTCAATAATACGCTTAATAAATCATCCCGAGCAACAAGTACGTTTCTGTCTAAAATGTCGTTTTGATACGCTTCGTTTGAAGCGCCACATATTTCTTGGTTTTCAAATTTGGAGCGTAAAATGTTAATAGAATTTTGTAGTTCTGAAAGATCAGCTACAATCATGAACTGAGTTTAATATTGAATCGGTAAGTCTCATCGACTACCGTACTGTATCGTAGTTGGTCGGTTATAGACCTAAACATCTATGTGAGGGATTTTGGTTACGGGCATTTCTAGCTGGGTTATTGATATTTTTTGTTGAAGACGGTTATTCACATATTTTTTCATGAAATTCATCATCAGAAGGAGTCCTGAACTTCAAATAATCTTAGAGGGATGGGATATTGATCACAAAAACTAGAAACTATTCCAAATTCTTTTTTATAGGGATATTTCTTATTGGGTGTAATGTCTCGCAGGTCCGGCAGGTCTATGCTTTAACGGAAGCTGTTCTGGACATAAGCTTCGTCAAATTATTCATTATTCTTTCTTCTAGTGCTGTTAATATTTTTAGTTTAAATTTTATCCTCCTGAAGCTGTTCTATACAGCGATCACATTATGTGATCACTTAACTGGTTTGGCTATCCCGTGAAGTAGTTCTGTAGTATTTGGCTTATATTCCCGTATTGTAACACTTCTAGTCGAATTCGTTGTAGAAATGTGAATTTCCTGTTGTAGTCCTCTGGACATAGCGACATAGCCTACCTATGTCTCATTGGAATATTTATAACGAAAACAATAATTCTAGTGTTGCCTTTGCACGACCTGCGTAAATCAATTGTGTTGCGGGACTGATGGTGTTACCGGAATCAGTTTTTGGTAGTGGATTTCGACATTTCCCCATAGTAACAATTTGCTAATACTGAACCATCTTCATCAATTTTAAACGTGTTTATCCTGATAAGATGTAATTTTCCTCCAGCATTTGGACGTTTTTTGGCCTAGGGGAATGTTCTGTAACAGTTCTGGACGTTTGCCGTATGGGTATATTTTCTATACCAGTTCTATAAGATTGCCTAGTGTGAATATTTTCTGTATCATCTGGACGTTTGTCTAGCAGTAATATTTTCTCCTCTGTCCATTCTGGTCATTTTCTAGTATGCGTATATTTCCTATAGTAGTTCTGGGTATTTTTATTTTGGGAATATTTTTCCTGAATCAATTCTGGACGTTTCTCTAGCAAGAATATTTTCTCCTGCAGTCTTTACATCTTTACAGATATACAATGTAAATTAAAACAGAATCGATAATACTTAAACTTTTATGAACTGCATACCCCCCCCCCTTATCCAGCATACAATTATCCACCCACCGCTTGAAGAGTGGATAGGCTGTATGACAAAGAACTTGTAACCTTTTGATGCTTGGTTTATTGTTACGGCAACCTATTTTTACGCTGGCTACTTTTAGAGTATCAATACTGTTATTGCTATTTTAATACTTTGTGATATGACAGATACTTTACTGACGAGTGGGTAGAAAATGAAAAGTGGTAGGTCAGCTAAAAGATAAAACCAAAACATGTTCCTGAATAAAATGTATTTTTAACTTACCCTAAAATAAATATTGATTAATAAAACTACAAGTCATAGATTAGGCCTAGTTTAAATAAATTCAAAGAAGAAAGAAGCATTTGTTCTACACTACCCTAAAAATAAAAAATATCTATGCTTTTTAGACACAACTTTTAGATGTTTCAATCTACAATTGTAATTGCACAGTATAATCAAATAGAAAAAGTGTTTTTGAACAATCTTTTACAGATCCTTGTAGATATTGGAATTTGAAATAAATATAGTCGTACAAGATTAACTAATAAATAAATGTTTTTTTTTTTAATCAAGCCAGAGCTCCACCGTAGTAGAACAAGCTTTGTAGCTGAGTGGTTATAGTGCTCACCTAGTAATCAAAAGGTCACCGGTTCTATCCTGAGAAAAAATATGAGAATATGAGAAGAGGTGTGTTGCTAGCCTACTAGCGTATCAGACTTTGGTGCAGGAGGGACGGGTTTGATTCCCAGCTTATGTTCTAATATTCATTCCCACAAACTATACAGGGTGGGGCAGTGAAACTGCACGATTCCATACCAGCTGATAAGGACGTACCGTTTCACCAAGGCGTATGAAAGAAGGTGTGTGCATAGTGACGTCAGTGCGAGTTTCATACGCCTTGCCGTTTCACTGCCTCACCCTGTATTAGCTTGGACCGTGTGAAACCATCATTTACCAATAAATTATTGCACTTCAACAAACATAACAAATCTAAACCAAGTTTTTCAAAAAGTTTAATTGGAATATCCAATTTAGTTTGAATGTTGAATGAAGATGACTGACTTGAAAATGTAATGTATTTTGTTAAACATCATTTGGATTTGCAGATAACTTTATTTCCTGGAAAACTTTTTCATGACCTTTCCTGATTCCCTTTGGAAAGGAAATTATGGTCCCGACAACTACTATTATGTTTGACAGTTGCACAATATACAAGTATAAGGAAATTGTACCTCAAATGCCTGCTTCATAAGGTCTGAATTCCATTCTGACTAAAGAATTTAGATGGATTTTTGTATCAACTGTACTTTTTAATATTGAGATACTGAACATTATTCTGTCAAATATTTTATATTTTACACTATGTATCACCAAATATAAATTATTCCGTCAAATATTTTATATTTGCCTCATCTTGATTGAACATTATTGATTTTATATCTGGTACAAACAAGATTTTAACCTGTTGGTATAGAGACATTTCTGGTTTAAAAATCTTCTTTTATCCATACCAATGATAGAAATAAAAATGTTTTGTCTAAAAGATATTAGCAAAGTTAAAACTCTGTATATTAAATACTGCTTAAAAACAAAAATATTTCTCTAAAACATAAAGAATTTCAAGACGAGGATATAAAAGAACAGTTCACTTTCTAGATAAACAATAGTTTATTTGAGATATGTACAATGATAAATATATGTACTACGGCTATAATGTAAATGAATTGCCCAAATAAACATCTAGTGAAATTAACCACTGGAGATTTTTGGAATGTTGACTTCCCAACCAATTAGTATGAAAGCTTTATTGGAAACCTGAGTATTTGTACAATTATTTACATGAACATGAACTACGCAGATGATTCTTAAACCTTTTATAATTAACCGCCACAACAAAACTTGACTTTCAATTTTCAGATCAGCTAATTATGATACATCCAAAATACAATCAAATTAGTTAGGATGAACAAGCAATAAATAAATCCAAAACAATTAATTTTTAGTTTAAGATCACAATTGGTTGTAATTTTACTGTATTTCCAATGATTTTATCAACACACAAATTATCTCTACAATTACTAGAATTGAAACTATTTCAATGTTGGAATCAAAGAATAAATTCAATATTAAATTGAAAAACAAAACTGAATTTATAAACATTTTAATTTAGTAGGTTTCTTGTCAACCGGCCACCTCAGGAACTAGACTGAGGCCCGATAATGATTTTAACATTAAAACTTCACATGTTTGATAAATTAAAAGTTTGGTTAACATAATGGTATATATTGTGACTTGAATTTGAATAACTGATAAACAATGTTTTTTTTCCGTCTTAACGTTACAATTTAACAAACTTTAAATGTTAATGCAGTACTTTGTTTTAAAATAGCCGATTAAGAGGTAATAATATTTTCATCACTTCGTACAGGAAAAACTATTTTTTCGAAAACAGCTGTTGTCAAAGAAAGCAAATTGCTTTCCAAGTTCAAATTAACTTTCTCTTGCTCTCAATCAGTTTGCCATTTACTAAAAACATTAATGTTTCTTTACCATCTACTATTATAAATCAGCCGGTTTTACTGTTCATTCATCTAAATGTAAACTAAACAGGCATAAGCAAATTTTTGCAGTATTTTTAGCATAGTGTGTGCTTAAAATGCCTCCAATATATCTAACATCCCTTATAATTCTATGAAAAGATTCAGACATGACAGAAAACCTTCCACCAGAGAAATAAAATAGTTTTACTTTTACTGAGTTCTGTTATTCTGTATGTGTTTTTGTGTTGTGATAAGTATTGTCTTGAACCAAAAGTGATTTATTCCGGTATTGCCTCACACACAAAACTTAAATTTGCATTAGAAAATATCCCTTGTACTTGTAATGAAATATACTATTCTTGTTAGGGTGGGCTGATAAAATGTTTGGCCAGTTAATATGGAGTTATTGTAGCTCTTTAGTTCTGAATAATAATCACATAAACACCCTCGTTGAGGTTAAAAGTTTGTCAGTTGGATATGTGGAAAATTGTGATCCGGATCTTTTGTTCTTATTAACAACTATTTTATATCATGTATTTATTGAACAGGTATTTCAAGTACCACAGGTATAAGATTGTGTATTGACCTTTTTGTTAAATTTTGTACATTAGGCCTACATAAATGTTTTTAGTTAAACTAGTACATCTGTATTTTAATCGGTGAGACATAATCTGTGTAAACAAATATATGCAAATTTTATATTCTTACCTAATCAATTATCAGCTAAGAGCTAGGGAAACATCTAAGAGCTTGCTGAACATCCATAAGAGTATTATTGAACTTAGTCCATAGATACAAAGCCCTATATATTTTTATAACAGACTCTTAGTGCTTATCTTAATTATAGAGAAACATTTTTTGAGTGGCATATCAATCTTCTACTACACCCTTAATTTAAGATTGCAGCTAAAATAAACTGATTTCTTTTACTTTTATGATAATGATCAGACTCAAACCGCAGACATGTTTATATTTCTGTATGAAAATATTTAATGACAAGAAACTAAACACAAAAATAAAAGTTTTCATTGTTTAGCCTTAAAGAAGCCAAAAAATAACACATAATATAACTTAAAGCTATCAAATAAATTCCAACAACTGAAATAACCGATGCAAACATTTAATTGTAAATTAAACTAGAATCTCAGTATAAAAACAAACACTGCACAAAAATGTAATAAAATAAATATATAATAACAAGAAATTCCTAACTGTAAAATACTAGATGAAAATAATACATTTCCTAGTGAAAATTTAAGGTCTATGAACGTTTACCACAAAACTAAATGCTTAACAGAAAATGGGCGGCTACATACAGTAAGGCTCAATTCATTCACATAAAACTCTACTTGAGCTAAGATACCGAAACTACCCACCAACCCCGGGAAAGCTAATTCGGCTTAGATCCTGAAATATGCGGTCGATTACAAAAATAGATCGATCTATCCGGATTCCGAGCGACAATCGAGACGATAAACGATAAATGCTAAGTAATATTATCACCATATCTTGTACACCAAGATAAGATTTCAGACTAGCAGACAGAAATAACGTTTCGAGGAGTGTTATTTATTAAAAAAAAGTATCACAAAAGCCTAGTTAGCTTTGAATTGTAAGCACACTTCCAAAACGAATTTGATACTTTATGATTTGAGGAAAGTCGAATGACCTCACGAGGAGTGGACGCTGAACTCTCGTTTGATGTAGAAGAGAATGTAAGGCTTACATTTAGCCACTACTTCTAGCTGTGTCTGACGGACCGAGCTGTCGTTGAAGTGCCACCACTGGCCTGTGAACACAACATGTATCAAAGTGAGCTTACCTTTGAGCCAGAAATGGGAATGGTTCATTAACAAAAGATGGATAGAAAATACAAGGAAGAAAAAAGTGAAAGATTAGGTCTTTAAAGGTTAGTTTTGTTCAAGGAAGGCTGTAGGCCAGAAATTTCGTTTGTAGAATCAAGAGATAGCAGCTAGATTACCTTAGAAGAATTACGAGTACTAGTTTAGGATTGGTTACCTATTTTAACAGTCTGAGCAGATTTTTCTTCAAAGTTTGTTTCATAAAACTAGGGATGGACGAGATTGGATTTTTAGTTCGAGACGAGACGAGACGAGATTTTTTATTTCTCATAAAATTTCGAGACGAGATCGAGACGGGATTTCCCTTCTCATACACAACGGGAAATGCACGTTCAAAATTTTTACCTGATTTTGTAACATTGTTAGATGACTGTTTAAGTACAAAAATAATGATAATAGGCAAGAATATTTACAATCTTTTATTAAAAAACATCAGCATAACATTTTTTTATTAATCACGCCTAACTTATTAAAAATGCCTACGATTAGGAAACGTAGTGATATCAGTTAGGATAGAGTTAAACTTATCATAAAATAAAATAAATCATAAAATAAAAGCAATATTAATTTTTATAAAATAGTTACTTGTTTTGACTTTTTATAGTAATAAAACATCCCTCACACTGCTTACACTTTACAAAACTTCTCAAATGTTATTAAAGTAATATTATTAAAATAATTAAAGTAATATTTACATTTAAAGAATTAATTAAATAAGAACGCCTTCACAAAGGAAACGCAACTACAACTTGCTCCTGTATTGCGGGTATAGCATTGACTTTCTGCAAGCGTTTTTAATTTTTTTTTTTTTTTTTTTTTTTTTTAATTCCCGTCTCGGTAAAAATCTTGGCCAAAAAGAAATCTCGTCTCGTGTAACGGGATTTAAAATTTCCCGAAAATTTCCCGGAATTTTGAGACTTGACCATCCCTACATAAAACATTGAAAATGGATTAGTGATGAAATGGGTTTGAATGTTAGATATGATATTTAAAACTGATAGACAACTGCACTTGTAGTCTGAAGATACTAGGGATGGACGGGATTGAATTTTTAGTTCGGGACGGGACGGGACGGGATTTTTATTTCCTTCCAGATTTTCGGGACGGGACGGGACGGGATTTTTTTCTGTGCATAAAAAAAAGAAATTACTGTATTGCAGTTACCAAAAAAGACATACGAAATCAATTTTTACCATTTGTGGCACAGATCTATAAAAACCAAAAAAATGGGTAACAATTTACAGGTACCTATAGAAACTTGTGACTCGCGGGTCACGGCGCGATCGTCGTCATGACTCGCGGTCTCGGCGTGATCGTCTGTATGACTCGCGGTCAAGGCGCGATCGTCGTCATGACTCGCGGTCACGGCGTGATCGTCGGTATGACTCGCGGTCAAGGCGCGATCGTCGTCATGACTCGCGGTCACGGGGTTATCGTCGGCATGACACGGTTATCAACTCCACGGTCACGGCGCGCTCGTCGTCATGACTCGCGGTCACGGCGCGATCGTCGTCATGACTCGCGGTCACGGCGTGATCGTCGGTATGACTCGCGGTCAAGGCGCGATTGTCGGCAGGACTCCAAAGTCACGTCGTGATCGTCGGTAGGACTCCACGGTCACGTCGTGATCGTCGGTATGATTCGCCATCACGGCATGATCGTCAGTATGACTCCGCGGTAACGGCGCGATCGTCGGTAGGACTCCGCGGTCACGGCACGATCGTCGGTAGGACTCCACGGTCACGGCACGATCGTCGGTAGGACTTCGCGGTCACGGCGCGATCGTCGGTATGACTCGCGGTCACGGCGTGATCGTCGGTAGGACTCCACGGTCACGGCGCGATCGTCGGTATGACTCCGCGGTAACGGCGCGAACGTCGGTAGGACTCCGCGGTCACGGCGCGATCGTCGGTAGGACTCCGTGGTCACGTCGTGATCGTCGGTAGGACTCCGCGGTCACGGCGCGATCGTTGGTATGACTCGCGGTCACGGCGTGATCGTCGGTATGATTCGTGGTCACAGCGCGATCGTCGGTAGGACTTCGCGGTCACGGCGCGATCGTCGTTATGACTCCGCGGTCACGGCGTGACTGTCGGTATGACTCCGCGGTCACAGCCCGATCGTCGTTATGACTCGCGGTCACGGTGCGATCGTAAGTCCAATAATCGCGGCTACGGCGCGATCGTCGTTATGACTCCGCGGTCACGGCGTAATCGTCGAAATGACTTCGTCTCCTGCGTTCGCGGACCTATCGCTCGCAATAACGGCGTTATCGGCACTCGCGAAGCGGAAAAATCGCCGACGATCGGACCAAATCCCGTCCCGAAAAATTCCCGAGTCAAATGTAATCCCGTCCCGATAATCGGGAATATTTTTTTCCCGAAAAATTCCCGAAATTTCGGGACCCGTCCATCCCTAGAAGATACTTTTAACTTATCTTTATCTGAGGCATTGAGACTATTAAACCTGCTAATAATCGATATTATGATTGTTGTAATAAACCCCAAAACTAAGCCCTGGACAGATTTGGAAACTTACCATCATTTATTGCGAATGCTGTGTAGTGTCCTGATCCAGCACTAAAACATACAAACACAAGTTAAATAATTACTAGTGATGCAACTTCACTTTTTTTCCTAAACACACCTTAATCAGCAACAAGGCTTTCCTTCTAAATATATTTGTTCACTTGGGTATTTAGGTTTCTTGAGGAGCCACAAATTTTGTATTAATAAGGCTGTAGAATGTAATTTTTTCAACGTTTTGGTTATTTTTTTGCGGGACAATCCACATCTCACTCCCAGTTTAGCCAACACACATAGAAAAAGCTGAAAAATGATATAGGGTGTTCCTTATGTAAGTACAATTACTTTGGGAATAAGTATTATGGATGAAAATAAAAATAAAATCAAGAGTATCATTATTTCAGAAAAACCTTATTATCGAGATATTCAGAAAATGTCTGTGAAAGTTAGAACCTATACGATTTAAGATAGCAATTAACTAGTTAATAAAAAAATATTTTTGGTTTCAAAACGGCAGCCATTTTAATGTTTAGGCAATACCTTTATTATTGAAGTTCTTATGTATGTTTTACAGGGACGATCAAGATGCTTAGCGTGATGAGGGCCCTAATGTCGTTGTTTACTTCAACAATGAATCACCAACTACAAAACTAATTGATAAGTTACAGCTTTCAAATTAAGTTATAAGGTGGTCTACACTAAACTGCATTAAAACATAATTTTTACCAAAGCCTTAACCCTCCGAGTGTCCATAGTTTAGGCCTTAATGTCCGCCTATTTTTGGCGCATTTGCAAGGTTTTATTAAAACGGATCTGAGAAGCTTAAAACAATGTTAATTCTACTGTTCTATATACTATTTTGTTTGGAAAATCATGGGCTTCAATATTATACATAAAACATAAGGAACATTTGTTTCAAAAAAATTTTTTAGGTAAAAAAAAGATATTTTGGAAAATTTTCAAAAAAAAAATAAGTTCGCGCTCAATGAAATTGTATAAATTATAGGCCTATAAATATTTGAAAATAGCCAATTTGTTCTAAATTTTATGAGGATTACAAATATATAATAATATAAGGAAGTAGATTTGCAAATAAATAAGTTATGGGCAAAAAACAGATTTCAGTACATAGCGTTTAGCTAAGAATGCATAGCCTAACCATAGCTAGGAATCTGGCTGATAATTTACATCAAAATCACTACCTACTTCTTCAGGATCATCAACCAGCCCTTCAAAATCACTTAAATCTTCTTATAATGCACCACGTATATCACTACTTTTGATTTTTAACACTAAAACAATGATAAACGTAATAAAACACATCAGTCATCGGTCCGAGGGTAACCTAGCTATTTACAAATACGCACGTCAGCTGTCTGCTACAATTACGATCGGCTCGGAGACCATAAAGCGCTTAGAGACAGACCTCTGGAGAAAGCGTAGAATATAACGAAAAGAACGATACCTAACTTGATCCAGTTCAATCCGATTCAGTCAGTCATAGAGCCTTCGCCGTAAACGATGTTCGTGCGTCAAAAAATCGACGCGTGACACTACACAAAGTGTGTCGCGCGTCGATTTTTCGACGAGTGACGCTCGGAGGGTTAACCAACTGTAGCTTAACAAGGTATATATTTTAAGTAAATACTAGCTGACCCGGCGAACTTCGTATCACCTAAGTTATAGGTTTCCCCTAAGACAGACCGATGGAAAGAAAGTACCGTTACGTTTAATTTTCAAGATGATCTCGTTCGCATCGCTCAATCACGTCCTGGTTGAAGTTCGTTCGCTACGCTCACTCACCTTTGGGTTGGAGCTCGTTCGCTACGCTCACTCACCTTTAGGTTGGAGCTCGTTCGCTGCGCTCACTTGCCTTCAGGTTAGCTCTTTCGCTACGCTAACTCGCCTCCAGGTTGAAGTTCGTTCGCTACGCTCACTCACCTTTTGGTTGCAAATTAGCTGTTGTCATAAATGTAAAAGAAATAATAGTGCTGCACCCTGTTGGTAATCCTTGTAACTTTAATGCTATTGAACATCATAGAACAGAACCAACTTGTTTAATTGAAACAGCTGTTAAGATTCATTAATTCCATTTCTCATAAGGTTAACATGGGAAACTCCAGAGCCACTGGGGCGGAGCCCTTTTAAGAATTTCGAAACGGGAAATAGTTTACGTCCGATTCGCATACCTACAGAATTTACACACCAAATTTCATAACGATCGGTGAAGTCGTTCCGGAGGAGTTTGCAGACAAACACTGTGACACGAGAATTTTATATATTAGATTAGTTGTTTCCCAGGCATTTTAGGTTAGGTTTGCACTATCCCCATTCACTCTGCCACTCATTATCGTGGATACTCATGAGTGTTCTATACTTTAAACTCACCCAGACCCATGGTGGACTACTACAGCAGCGAGATCGTAAAGGTTGGAACCACTGAGGCGGGTGTCTGGTAGATCACTGAGCACAAACTGCGACATGTCTAGAGCCGACACTGGGAACTGGATGTTAATGTCTATCTTGGTTCGCCAGAAGTTGTTCCACCGAAACCGCTTCAAGTGTAGACACAGCACCTGAAAAAAATCAATTACTTACATTCCAGGGTAACGTGTTAACATTGGAAATATCTTAAAACACATCCTTCACAATGAAATTTTGTGTGATTTGACAACAGCTTTAAACATTTTAAATTATCTTCCACAATTTGACAGAAGTGGACATTCCATTTGTCAAAGAAGCCAGTTTCAGATTAAAAATAAGCATAAATTTTATGTCTTTGGGCAACAACTATTTGAATAAACACTTTCATTCATTGAACGATGATTACGTATTAAGATACATCAACTGTACGGAAGAAAATCACACTTTAACAAGGCCAAACGTCAGAGAATGATAGTGTTTCGTCGCTTTTGACACCAGAAGATCATCTATTTACAATAATTGACTGAGGAAACCTATTCAGTAGGGATGGACAGGTCTTGAAATGTAAGGAAATTTAAAATCCCGTTCTACAAGACGAGATGATTTTGACTCGGATTTTAATAATTAATTTTAATAACTAGTAAGGCTGATGTTTTATGCTGATTTAGTATTTTTTAGTGATGGTCGGATCCGGATATCGGACAACCGGATCCGAGCTGGAACCGGCACCGGATCGGACCTAAAAAATTCCAGATCTTGGGCTGGATCCGGTTTTGATGGATCTGATTTTTCCCCGGTTTTTTTGCTAACATAAAGCTGTCTGTATCCATGTACAAGGCCAGTTTTTTCCCGATTTTTTACTAACACAAAGCTGTCTGTATCCATGTACGCTCATCCGGACTAAAGTGGCGGACGTCCGGTCCGGATTACGAAAAATCAGCACTATCGAGAGTCGAGCAAATACACAGTACTGTATATAGCCGTTTTTTTTTCAATTTTGTTCCAGGTCCACAGTAATGATAGCCGGGCACATGCACTTCAACCGGTAATAATTTTTACCGCCGAATTTTGTTCCATGTCCAGAGTAATGATAGCCGGGCATATGCACTTCAACCGGTAATAATTTTTACCAACGAATTTAGTTCTAGGTCCACAGTAATGATAGCTGGACAAATTTACTTCCACCGGTAATAATGTTTCCCGCCTAATTTAGTTCCAAGTCCACAGTAATGATAGACGGGCATATGCAATTTAACCGGTTTAATAATTTTTACCGCCGAATTTAGTTCCAGGTCCACAGTAATGATAGCTGGGCATACGCACTTACACCGGTAATAATTTTTACCGCCAAATTTAGTACCAGGTCAACAGTAATGATAGCCGGGCATATGCACTTCAACCAGTAATAATTTTTACCGCCGAATTTTGTTCCAGGTCCACAGTAATGATAGGTGGGCATATGCATCTTCTAGGTAATAATGTTTAACGTCGAATTCAGTTCCAAGTCCACAGTAATGATAGTTGGGCAAATGCACTTCCACCGGTAATAATGTTTACCAAACCGGTAATAATAACCGGTAGTAATGTTTAGGCCCTACACCGGTAATAATTTTTACCACCGTGTTATCCAGTTAATCGGTCTAATAAAATCGGGAAAACATCGGTCTTGTATGCCTGGATCACCCCTTGCTTATCTCTCTTTGTTATTCGTTCCAGGTCCACAGTACTGATAGCTGGGTATTTGAAACTCTACAGGTAAAATACCCTGTGTCTGTGTACAAGATTATCTGTGTCCATAAAGGGTGAATAAAAAAGTCAAGACTCCCCCATCTAATATTTTTCTAAGTTAGAACACAGTACAGTCTTCTTGTACACAGACACAGGGTATTTTACCTGTAGAACTTCACATACCCGTCTATCAGTACTGTGGACCTGGAGCGAATTTAAGGAAGAGATTAACAAGAGGTGATTCAGGCATAAATAAATTGGGTGCTGCATGCAAAGACCACGATATAGCATACTCAAGATCAAACTATAGTAAAACTAGTGGCTTGTAGGGACATAAGTCCCTAAAAAGCTGAAATGTAAAACAACATATTGCAATTCCGGTATTTAAACAAACTCAGAATAACATTATCTATGTGTCAGAATAGGCATCCCTACACCATATCTTTTGTGTAAAAACCAGTTTGTTGTTCTTCTTTGTTTGCTTTTGTTGATGTAATTTTCAATAAATAATTTGAATCACTCCAGTGGTTTAACATGAAAAGGCAGCAAACATATCATTGTTTGTGAATATAAATATAACTGGTTTACTAAGGTAGCTTTGGTCTTGTGGTTAATGAGGATAAATAAAAGCTTCTCTGTTTAAAAATTTTAAAAATTAATTGGAGGTTCGCCTTCGGATGAATTGAAGACGCCTGCAATTTCATCTGCAGTAGGCTTATTATAGGCTACCTACGACGATCCATATTTATCCTGTCTACAAACCTAAGTTCTAATTCACTGTCACCTTGTACAACCATTTCTTCCGAAGCTCTTTTGTAAATTTGTGCAAATGGATTTTCTAATAGAATTTCAGCTAGTTTTGACAATATTTCAGGTTTTAAGTCACTATTTTCTCGACGCCTTTGATGAATTTCTGTTGCTGTTGATGTGTCAATAATGTACAATTGGCCATACACGGGGTCTTCATCATGTTGAGGCAGCAAATCTAAGATTGAACGATAAATCTGTCCTTGAATTTTGAAACAGTATGGTCCTTTTCCTGGAATATCTTTCTTACTGGCTGAAAAATAAGCAAAAGCCATCGCACTGTTGTATTGTCGAATGAATTTATACAGTTGTGGGCTCTCTTCAAACAAATTTTTAAGTTCTACATTAGTTTTTGGCTGAGGAAGGTTAATAAGTCCGTTATGGCAACATGTCATAAAATGATTATTCGTTAGTTCTTCTCTAAAATGAAGAGCACTACATTGAATGCACTCTTGGTCCTGCATCATGGATATTTAAATTTTTCTCGTCTACCATGGGTCTCCTAAAAAGGGGTTGTAACATATCTTGATTAAGTTCGTCATTATCTACTCTTGCTCTTCTACGAGCACTGTCATTCCTATGAACAGCTCTCTCCTTCACAGCCTTTGTGGTCTTCCCCTGGCGTTCATATTAATTACAGTACTTATAATGAAAAGAATATATATCCAGCAGCCTACATACCAAAACATCTTGAATCCCTGGTGATTTTATAAAAGTATGATCGAATATGATTACTCTACGTTGTATATTTACTGCACTAAAAAAATATTTACTTACAAAGGAATGCAAATACACCATTTTAGAACCAATAACATTTGTAGGTTATTTTAGTTGTATATATTAACACAACCTTAACCTTAAAATGTGTAGAAATATAAAGAAAACAACATCATTTAAATTAAACTTGAACATATGATTTAAAAATAAAAACAAAACAGAAGTTAGATTTAATTTCGAATCTTTGATTATTTATACAGAATATTTATTCTATGTCGTTTATTCCTTTAACACGACAATAACGTAAAAGCATGAAAAAATGAAACTTGAGTATATGATTTAAATATAAACAAAGAATGGAGACGTTTTCCTGATTTATCTTCAAGTTCAAGATTTCAGTTTTATTATAGTATACATTTCATAGTTGACTGGCTAAAAGTAAACCAAATGCGTGTATTGATCACTGTTTTCAAGATATAGCACGATCAGATGTATTGAAGTAAACAGAAATCAGCAGTAAATGACTTCTGTTTTAATTTCAAAAGATGTAAACAAATTAAACCCCATGTTGTTTTAATGGGAAAAGTTTTATTCTGTTGCGAATTTATGGTAAAAAAAAATAAGAAAAATTAATAGTTTTCCCTCAAAATTCACGTCAAGACCTTTAAAATAAGACCCCTCCCATCCTTCTACGGCCATCCAGTCACTCACAATTTCTTTACAAAAATTTGTCTTACGGAATTATATATATAGATACACACAGATACCCTTTTGGTGGTCGTGCAAACTTGGGACAAAGTTTCATTTTATGATTTTGAAAAGTTCCCCAAAAAGTTAGGGATTATGGGCTCAACTGGAGATTACTCTGTATATAAGATGTATTAATCTTTAAACATTACCAATTTAATTTCAAACAGTATGATTTAAATTGGCATTTTGATAATTACGTTTTTTTTTAACCCGCCCTTATGACAGTGTATATCTGGATCCGGATCCCGTACCGACATTTTCAAGGATCCGCCCATCACAAGTATTTTTCAACTTAACACATAATTTGACTGATGTTTCAGACAAAGAAATTTTGAATTAATCAAAGTTAAACTATGTCCTAACTGATATCACCATGTTTCCTACCTATGCGTAATAGTTATTTTTAACAAGGTAGTCCTAAAGAGTATTTGTTTTCTTATACTGATGTTTTTTATTGATGTTTTGTATTAAAAGATTTTAAATATTCTTGCCTATTATTACTGTTTTCATATTTTGTTTTTAGGAAAAATCATTTAGCTTGGATTAAATAAACCAAGCTAAATGTAGCTAAACTTCATCCTATACATTTATTTTTATATTTTACCAGTCTCTCATAAATCAGTAGGTATTTAAAATTTAACAAAATCAGGTTAAAATGGCGAGCATGCATTTTCTGATATGTATGAGAAAGGAAATCCAGTCTCGATTTTGTCTCGAAATTTTATGAAAAATCAAATATCCCGTCTCGTTTCATCTCTAAGTATAAATCCAATCTCGTCCATCCCTACTATTCAAGAAAAGTAGTTAAATCCTCAAGAGCGTGCTGATGTAACATAACAATTTCTGTTGAGAGGTTAACTGTAAGAAAGGACCATGACGTCCTAAGTTTACCTCAATAAAGAAGGATTTTCATTCATTCGTTCTATCTTACTCTCAGATATTCTTGTTTCTCCAGCCATCCTGATCTTGGATTGGGACAAATGTTTTCCTCAATCCTCAATGAAAGAGTTACTTGGAAAGAAGGCAGTTTGCGTAGCTAAAACTTACATTGCACAGTGTGTTTCCAAAATCCACAGCAAGCAGTCTGTGTATCAAAAATATACATTTAGACAGTCTGCGTATCCAAAACTTACATTTGGCAGTCTGCGTATCCAAAACTTACATTTGGCAGTCTGCGTATCCAAAACTTACATTTGGCAGTCTGCGTATCCAAAACTTACATTTGGCAGTCTGCGTATCCAAAACCGCTTGGTAGATCTTTGTTTGCTTTTACAGTTGTTGCAGTAGTAAAGCTCAGTTTCCGCCAACTCCTCTACTTGAATGAAGCTTGTGAGACAGTCTGTAATTTAAGAGTTATGATCAAATGTCTTTTATTTATATAGGTATCCTGAAAGAATAGTTCAAAATTTTATTTTGTTTTAGCTTTTAATTGCTGCTGTAAAATACTTCAATACCCATCATAGCCTCGAGGATAACTTCCATATTTATGCAGCATGGAATAATAATTTGGAAAGATATTTCAGCCATGGATACCAACCTCAGGATAGAGAAGACAAATATCTTTAAAAAAACATTGATTTGTGTGCGTTTAGGTAATTGGCATTCTTTACAGTTTTTTAATGGTCCACATAAAACATGTTTGGTAGAACCTCCTTCAGACATTTATTATTACCATCACAAATATTTTTATCAAACCTTTCACAAAACTCTTGTAATTAGTAGTGTAATAAAACCACTCAACAATCTTATTTATGTAAAATCAAATAGGTACTGTAACTCTAATTCCAGTGATATCCTCAATATTACCTTACCTAGAATATTACACGGAGAAATAGGTTCATCACTAGAATCTCTGTTTTTCTTTTGATAACACTTTTCTGGAATGTCCAAAGAGAGGTCTAGAAACGGATCGTGCTTCTTCGACTCAACATTGCAGTTCAAGCATGTGACCTAAAAAAATAAATGCTATCAACAAAACTGACACATTCTTCTTCCTATCGGTTAGCTTTTGGTCATTGTTCTCTTCAAAAATGTTAAAAATTGTCCATTATTAAAATTTAAAAAAGTGCAAGAAAATACCTTGGATTATTACTAACAAGCCGAATTTAATTAAAATTGCATCACAGGTGAAGTCTGTAGCTGTATTTTTTTTGGAGATGTTTAGGATTTTTTGGGGGAAAATCATAAAAATAACATTAATTTTAGAACCGTTGTGTTATGTGTTGAAGGTTGTGGATTGCAAGGACTTTAAATTGGTAAGCAAACATACATTTTGTAGGACCAAAAGGAGGTCTCAAAATGGTTTTCTGTCTCTTTGTCTACACTTAAAAACTACCCCAGGGGACAAAATATTGTGTTCTATTTCTTCTATGTGTTATATGGTCTTCAAGTACTTCTAATATAAGCTAGCTGCCATCGATTCATTTAACAGATCAAAATTCTGGCCTAGACCCTGTTCTAGAACAAAACTAGCTTTTTAGAGTACCTCGCTCTGTAGTGTGCCTCCAAAGACACTAGTGACGATGGATGATTTCCCTTTGTGTCCCAGCAAATACGGAGACTCAGGCAGTAGATGTAGCAACTCTGTGTGCAGTCTGTCCAGCATGTAGCGCAGGAACTCATGAGCATCTTGTTGTTGATAGCCTCTGTAACAAACAGTAAGGGACAAGTCCGTTTCAGTTGTCGGTTTTACAATACTTTAGCAAAAATTAAAACCAAGATTTTATAGAAAATTTTGGGTTTGGTTTATTAGCTTTTGCTCAGTCTTGACTTGATGTCATGATTACGAGGTCTTCACGATTACAGGCTACAATGATGTCTTTGCGAAAATTCACACTTGCAGCGAAATGCGGGAAAGAAAGATCATGATGGAAACGATGTTGGTATCAACAAGATCACAAAAGATATTCTGGATTTGACTGTGATCACAGACGAATATGATGATGTCTTTGCAATCGCAGATGTTTTAAGATTTTCCTGCGATCGCGAAGACATAATTATTTCCAGCGATCCCCCCTTGATACATTTTTTTATGTGAGCTTAGTTGAGGAGTTTTGAAGTGGTATTTTTAACATACTATTCAGTACAAGGAAGCATGAGGAGGGGTATTCCTAAACTGCTTAAAAATGATTTAACCCCTAATGCTTAAAAAAATATACCTATATATATATGACTACACTTTGATCTAAACTTAGATAAAAAAATACTAGCAAAGTTAAATTATGAAAACCATTAGGCCTATTATTTTTTCAGTCTCATCTTTCATGCTTTTGCCCACACAGTTTTTACTCTTAGTAGATTCGCTTTAAAAGCCAAGATTAAGTAAAATGTACGATAAAATGGCATTAGAGCCACAAATTAGGCATCTATTGTAGGCTATGTTACAACTTTGCTTCAGAAAAGTAACATATTAGTCAGGGTGTAAAAACCATTTCTAGACTGTATTCCCAGTGAGTTATAAATATTATTGAATTGAAGTTCCTTCTAAAAGATTGCAACTGAAGTTTTATACTAAATGGTTTAAGTTACCTGGCTTTGTCAAGTGGTCCTGCTTCAGTATTACACTATAGTTTCGGACTTGACAAAAACGTCAATAGGTCATCCAACCAATTTGGATAAATTGTAGACGAATCTAACCAAATTGGTTAGATGAGCTATTGACGTTTTTGTTAACCTGAAGATGGACTTGTTTTCAAGTCTGAAACTATAGTAGTGTAATACTGAAGCAGGATCACTTGACGAAGCCAGGTAACTTAAACCATTTAGCTTAAATTTAGTGATCCAGAGGCTACCTCACCATGAAGTTTTATCACAGAAATTTAAGTTACACTATATAATAAGTTTGAAAAGTGTCCAGTTGCTTAAAAATCTTATGATAATGATTAAAAAATAAAGTCAGAAAACATCCAAACCTACCGGAACCTAGGTACAACTTTCCAAATGACGAGGAACAGAGACTCTGGCGAAATAGCAGACTTGCTGGCTCCATTGTCCGTCAGGCTGATGATGATCTTACGCAGCTCCTCCGCCATGATGGCGTCATTGAGTTCTCGGAAACTGCGAGACTGGTAAACCTTGCTCCGACCCACTCCTTTGATGTTGTCTAGTGACGGCAGCTTCTTGAAGTACACGCGAAACTCTTCTATATTGCTGCAATTAAAATGATTTACTAAAATGCTAAAATACAGGTATTTCAGAGTAAAAAGGATTTTAACAATTTATTAAACTCATTAAATTTCACTTAAAGAATACAAAAACCATCTGGAATGTTTATTACTGGTACCATTAAGTAATTTCAAATGACGTAACTGGGTACTGTACACAATCAATGTAAGTCTGCTTTTCAGAGGTTGATATGGTTCAACATCATGTCCAGTCACACGATCTAACATAATCAAGATTTATTCTCTTTGGGTTTCACTAAGTATCTTGTACAGGGTGTCCACCAGACCAACCAGAAAAAAATGCATGAGTAATTCCAGGTAGTTCAGGTCCTAATTTTCATACCAAACTTTCCAACACGTTTTTGCACCAACTCCCGTGCTGTTTTAGCGCTAACACAGTTTGTTATTTTAATTATCGAAAAAAGCATTCTCAGTTAAAGAAACAAAATTTATGATTACCGGTACTGTAATATTGCATTAAGACAGAAGTATGCAATTTGTATATATTACTGATTAAATAATCAGAAAATTATAAACTAATCCTTAATCCTGCAATTTATCAATAACTTCTTTGAAATAGTGTTATGTCGATACCAAAATTTATCGAATCTCCGTACCGACACCTGAAAAATACATTCTTAATACTGATAATTATATTTTACCAAATTTTCTGTAAGGAATACTACACCAAACAGTCTTTATGTACTTTCATATGGTATGTAATTTTGGAGTTGTGGGTTGTTTTTCTTATGGAGTTATGGAGTTAAGTGGCCTACAGAAATAATTAGGTAATGCAGAAATTACAAAAATTTCACATAGCCACAATTAAGGTTTTAAACACATTAAATAAATGTCACGTTTAAGGTATAAATGAAGATTTTACAAAAAATATAAAAATAAAACTTTCTAGAAATTGTTAAAATTTGCGGTCAAGCCGAAGGTTATATCTTAATCATCTACCACTGTCATAGAGACACCATCATCGTTTTCTCTGATAACCGAAAAATCCTAAATATCTCCCTCAGTAACAGGAAACATCACCACTGTCTTCCGTGGTTGTGACAAAATACTGATACTGTTCAGAGGTAATGGAAACATTATAACTGTTTCCCGTGATCACAGAAAAGTAGTCATCAATTCTTATAACAAATCACATGGCCGTTTGGACATCATCATCGTCTCTTGCGCTCACGGAAACACCATCATCGCCATGCACGATCACGGCAAAATCACTAAAAAATCCCGTGGCCACTTAAGAGTTTGGACATCATCATTGTCTCCCGCGGTCACGGAAACGTCACTGTCTCCTCCCACGGTCACAGAAATGTCATTGTCGTCTCCCGCGGTCACGAAAACGTCATCGTCATCTCCCACGATCACAGAACGTAATCGTAGTCTCCCAGGGTCACGTAATTTTCATGCCCGATCGCGGCAAATTGAAAATTCCTGGTGAAATACGAAATTCACGCATAATTCCCGGTTTTTCAGGTCGGTGGACACCCTATTGTAGCCTACTCAATTACACACCTCCGGGACCAGATGATATAGACTCTGAATTATGAAACAAGGTTGACAAAGAAGTAACAAACTTATTCCAAGGTCTCTATTTTGGAAACAATTTTTTTTAATGTCCATTAAACCCATTGTCATTTGCGTGTACCCATAACGTCATTAATTTTTTATTTTTGTAATGAAGGTGCTTATAAACATTAAACACTCAGGTTGTTAAACAAAAGTGGTTGAGTTGCACCTTTATTTGACGTGGCCTTTACTGCAAATTAAAGTTGTACTGTACTGTTTAATACCAAATTATCATTTTAAAGAAAAAAGTAGGTATGCTAGGCTCTTGATAGCTAAATAATTTTAAAAAGGAATTGAAACTTAAAAAAAAACTTAGGCCTATAGGCCTATGATAAAAAGTTTAAAATGTCACATGTATTTATTGCTTTAGGATTTTGAGAATGATTTCTATCAAATTATAGTGAATCCATAACACAATTGCCAGGTCACACTATCATTTTAAATCATTATTATTGATTCTGTATTACCTGAGAGATTGTAGAACTGCATTCATGAAGCAAGTGTTCCCTAAATTACGAAGTCCTACCACTTTCTTTTCACGTTTCACAGTTTTGAGGTAAGTGTTGCTGGTTGTCCGTCTTTTTCGAGGGTAGGCCTTCTCGTTTTCTACACTTCCATTTTCAGTGCTCCCTGTACTACTGTCAGCCGAGTGACACCTAGAACAACCATTAGTGATCAAGATAAACACAATCTGCAATCGTTTTGTGGAGCTTTTCATAATTCGTGGATTTTGTTTACAGGCCTCTGTTTCTTATCATTAAATGTGAAGGGTTTAATTAACTCTACAAAGTTAAAGTTGTAGCGAAGGCCTACTGTTAACAGGAAATTTAGAAGAAATTTAGGCTACTCCTTGGATTCAAATTTCACCATCGATTAGATGACTAATCTTGTGTAACTGTAATGGTGTAACAATTAATGTGATCACCTTCCAATCTAAAGGTTGTCAGACACATATCTAGTTGCTATTTGTCATCTCGAAGTAGGCCTATTTGTAATGTACGCTATAATAAAAATCTCCCGCAGTCGTGTGGACATCACAGTCTGCCGTGATCGCAGCAAAATTATGATCAACTCCCACGTCTGTTTTGACATCATTCCTCTCCCATGGTCATGTGGACATTATCAAGGTCTTCCACTATTGCAGCAAAATTTGGATCATGTCCCGCGTTCGTGTAGAAATCATCATTGTCTCTTGCAGTCACAGCAAAATCATGAACATATCCCGCGGTTGTGTAAACATTATCATCGTATCATTGTCATCATGGGCCAAAGACGTAATTTTTCAATTGCGCAACCTTGCAGAAATATACCAATGTCCAATTATTGGTGGTATCGAGAATCCGTACTGAGAATCAACACATCCTACTAGCAATCATAAATCATGGGGAGAGAGCTGGTCTAGTGGAAGAGCGCAGGGCTTTGGTGCCCACGGTCTTAGGTTCAAATCCTGTCTATTACCTATAGATTTTATCCATGTGATAATGCTGCAACCCTCTAGGACTAGGCTTTTGTAATGTGTTAAACGGTTACGGGCTAGAACTAGCAGCCTAGAATGTGAAGGTGGGACACAAAAAAAAAACAAGGAAAAACTAGCAATCGTAATAAGGTTACAAAATTGCACTATTAAAATAAAAATATCCCTTGTGGTAAAATCCTTACAAAATAGGGAAAGTGTGTTTTAGGGAAATAATTCCATGAAATCAATTACTAAGTATTTACCTTTTCCTAGATCGGGGGCGTAGGTTCCGTCTGTTTTCATGTGCAGTTGAGCCTTGAGATGTCTCACCGACCTTGATAAGCTGTCTAATACGAGCTAGGCAACCGTTCTCCGTATCATTCACGACAAAATCATCACAGCTATAGCTGAAATCACACAAAACAAAGTCACTCAGCTGAAATGTACTTTTCTTTTGAGTCCCCAAAGAACAAATTAAATAAGTTAGGTTTAAAACAATTAATCAGTTTTACTTCCTAATGAGTAGGCTATATAGTACAATTAATTCCTAAAATAAATTCTTGTCAAAGCAAGGGAACGGGATGGCTAGACTATTATTGAAAATAAAGAATTACCGGTATGAAAAACATTAATATCATAACCAATAATAAACATGCTTACCAAAAGACTGAAAGTGAACTACAGTCGATGCAGACAAGATGATTTTGCTGTTTTGAATGTTCCAGTGAATGACCGTTGACGTAACGGCCGCAATGTAGAACGCCACAGTGAAGACACATCCAAGGACTATCAGTGGCAGAACAAACTGTAAAAAAAAACATTTATTTGCTTAGCAAAAACATTTCAAAGAACCAGTTACCGGAAATTAGTTTAAATGTTTATTTTTTTTATTCCTCTAGGCATTGGCCTATAGGCCTACCTAGGCTAAGATTTACCTACAAAAAAGGAGTCAACAACAAAATAGAGAGGCTACTATTTGTTGTAAGGAGATTTTTATATATTGAAAGTCATGACATTTTAAAAGCTAACCAATGCTGAGGGGAGTACACAAAGTCATATAACTCTTAAGTTAAGCAGTGTTTACACCAAAGTCTTCCTCTAGATGCAGCAATTAACTTGTTTTTTTCAACAAAAAATACAGCAATGTTTTTTGTCTTACTACTAGTGGAGAGAAGTCTTCCACTAAATTTTAGTTTCCCACTGAGGGTTGAAAAAGATCAAAGAAAGTTGACACCCAAAACTGGAGAATTTGTTGCAGCGTGCTTTGTTCCAAGTGTTCTCCCTCCACGCACCCCAGACGTGACGTCAGAAATAGTTTATTTAAGTTAAATAAGACTTCTGTACAAATCACAAGTAGTCAAAATAACTTATTGTAACTGCTAGCTTTTCTTAGAAATGTTTCCATTCGTTAATATCAATAGCCTATATCAGATTGAAAAATAAAATATCGATATCAAAACTAAATAATCCATTAAGTTAAGTTTAATTGAATGTTCCCTTTAACAGGAAAGTATAATTATACATGTAGGCCCTAGCCTATACTTGAGTTCTTCATCTTTGACAGAGCTAGGCCTAGTCAAATAGATTGTGTTATAAAATAATTAATAGGTACAAAAAGGTGTTTAAGTTTCACTCCCGTTGCACCTCAGCTCACCAGAGACAGATGTCATCTTCTCGGAGATCAGCTAGCTTATCATGTCAATGCCACTGTACCCATCCCTAGCCATCAATAACTTAAGGGTAGGCCCTATCACCCTCACCCAAAGCTTATCTTAAGGGACCTCTTTTACAGTGGCTGACTAACTTATTATGACACAGGTAGCTGCAGCAATGATTGCATTTTCTTCTTCCAAGACATCATGACACTAAGTTAAGTTAACTCAAGCACTGCCTAGCTTTTTTTGCACCAATTCATTCATTCTAAGTTAAATTGAGTTTATTTAGAGAAAAGCAACTTTTTGTTTTCCACAAAAATCTTTCACGAAGTAAGTTAATCTTAGGTCTAAGTAAGTTTTTTAAGTTTGCCTACTTTGGTTAAATCTTGCCTTTAAACTTAGTAACAGTCTTGGCCAAATTGGCTTAAGATTAAGTTAGGATCTTTTAGGCTTGGTTTAATTTGGTTTTTTAAAGAGACTTAGGCTAACCTTTAGAGTTAAGGTAGGTTGCTCAGTTACTTCTGCTCAATAGACTAAGTTTACTTACCTATGTTAAGTTAGTAATTTGAAAAAAATGAGGGATGACTAAGCTTAAGTTAGGGTTTTAGATCAGCCTAAAAAGAGGGAAAACAAAACTGAAGGCTTGACTGTTAATAATCAAGATAATAATTAATCTAATTTAAACTAGGCTTAACTTAACCAAAGAGTAAGTTTCCGTATCTGTTGTCAAAAACAACCGAATGAAAAATTAGACGATATAAGGCTATCAATTATTTAATTTGATATACTGTTGGTTAAGTTAGGTTAACTAACCAAATGCTAGAATAAAATATCAATATTTTCATTCGGTTGTTTTTGACAACGGATAAGTAGCCTACCCTATCCAAAAACAGTTAGGCCTAACTTAGTTTCATCAGCTACAAAATCTGAATTGAAAAGCTAACTCAAGCTATGGTAGGCCTACTCACTCATATGAAAAATCAATAATTACTAGTGCCTAGTTAGGCCACAGCCTAATTAACTTAAATCAACCGAATTCTTTCAATAATAGTTAACTTAAATCAACCGAATTCTTTCAATAATAGGCTATTTAAAAACGAAAAAAGAATAGGCCCTAAAAACCTAGCCTAGGCCTAAGTTAGTCGTCCACATAATATTTTGCAGCCAAATAGGCTGGACCTAGGCCTATTCCTAAAGCAACAAGCTCTGCAACCTAAATTGGGAATAAAAAAATAAATAGGCCTAATCGAGCTAAATATGCCTAGCTGAGATTAATCAATTCTCTACGATTCATGTGACTCAGTGCCAAAGGCCTGTCAATGGCCCCACCAAGGATGTCAAGTAACCATCTCTAGAGAAGCAGACCATTGACCATACTTTTTATGAGGCCCAGAAAAATATCAATTAAAAGTTAGTAAACTAATCAAGCCGAACCCAAATTGTGCGAGGTTTAGTTTATAGTGTTAAAGACGCAATGTCGCCAAGTTTCAATTTTTGAAAGTGAATCTAAAACCAGATCTATACTTTACCTGCGCAGGCCAACTCCTTTGTTGCCGTCTGGGCAGGAGACGATATTTTGACATTTTCCAACAAATGAGGACACTCCATCTCACTTTATTAAGCAAAGCCTCTAATTCAAGTAAAATCTAAGTTAATCCTTATCCACCAGAAATACTTTTCAGTTAGATAATGTACGAACAAACTTGAAACCCCAACCTCCTACTCCCTTGACAACTACCGCTACGAAATCCGAGTGAATTAACTCGGAAACTCCGTCCCTTCTCGGAACCACTTCGGGCTCAGCTCAGCCTGTCGTATCACTGCGCAGTTCAAAATAAAAAGTTATCTTAGGGAGTTTTAGCTTTTAGAATGGAAAATGTTCGTTAAATTGCAATTTCTTATATGTTATTATTTATTATTAACAGAGAACAACATTATTTAAAAAAAATAACGTATTGATATAGTCTACTGGCAAAGAAATGGTATGTCAGCTTTGATAATTGAAGGTTTTTTAACCTCAGGGAAAATTCATAATCAATACGACGCACTTTGATTTCCGAGTTTATTTCCCAATTTCTTTAAAAAAAAATTTGGGACTAAGTTTAACCTAAGTAAAGCAATTAATAATGAAGACATGTTGCATTTTTTACTTCTGAACATCGAGACATAAAAACAATAATGCGTGATTGGGCGTGATTAGTTTCCCAATTTTATTCATGTAAAAGAACGCAAGGAAGGGGAAAGTCTAATAATTAATTGTACCAGAGTTTCAAGGTTTTACGTTCTTTGTCTTCTTCCTTCTTGTGCATTGTTCCTGCCTTTTTAAAAATTGCTTTTGCTATTAACTCTAAAAAATAGAGTTTTGACATGGATACTGCATAATCTAATTTTCAGAAAACCTCAAATGAATCCCTATATATAATACGTGAAGGCGATTTCTACGAAACACTCCCGGACGGATATTAATATTAATGGACGGATTTTTACATACGCTATGTGTCAAAATAGCTAGTTCATGTAATAAAAGTCCTGAGGCTTTGCCTTGCAGGCCATCAAAATCCCAATGTATTTCTTATAAAAAAGGATTTTGTTTACAGACGAATAATTTGTATTAATTACAGCTCAACATATAGTAAACACATGATACAAACAAGAGCGTTTCGTTTTCAGAGTGAGTTCGTCGATAACTGTAGTGGAGTGATTGATTACACATTATCTTGAGTTGACTCTTTTAGGTCATCGGAAATTATGATTGTTATTAGTTTTGAAAAAAAAAAAAACGCCTGTAATACTTTGCAATTGCTCGAATTCGAGCAACAGGTGCACTAGTTTTATAAGAACTTTGATTTAGTTACTCCAGGCAGGGGCCTGTTTCATAACAAGCTGTAACTTGTTATTCCATTATAGATTCACATTAGTTGATCAGCTGATTTAATAATAATAATATATTAGTTTGTACAGTAGTTTATGAAACAGGCCCCAGAGGGCTGTTTTTCATAAAAGGTGGTGTTTTTCACAAATCAAATTTGTCAGAAACTATTAATTATTTGTAAATAATACTATTTGACAGGGTGACAATTTTAAAATTGTAAATTGTCTTATGTTTTAACTTTAGTTTAATAAAGTTTACAATTGTCATGAAAACATGTCAAGAATTAGCTACATTTACAATTGCTGATTATTTATTGTAACATATTCCAGTGCAAGATGTCTAATGACAAGATGAAAATAGGGTAGCCTATATGCGTAAAACAAATCTAAATTTGGGCCACAAACAACCATAGTATTGCATGATTATCATACATATCCACTAATGGGGCCTCATTTTCATGGGGTGCATCAATTTGAATTAAGACAAATCCACACTAAAGTTAAAATTGATTCTGTAACATTACCTTTTACATTCATACTACTAAGCACTAATGACAATAGCTTGACACACACGGAACCCTATGTCAATTTTATTCCGACAATTTGACAAAAAAGTCGTATTGTAAAATAAATTTTAATTTTGAGCAGTTTCATAAACATAATTGTCAACATATTTCTCGACAATTTGTGAACATTCACGTTTCAAACTCAAATTAAGTCTACCTTTTTTACTTTGTCTAATCATTCATCTTCCAAGTGGTTTATTTATACTTTTAAAACTTAACAATCGTCTGGGAAATTTTTATTTCATCACTCCTTAACGAAAGTAACTATTTTTGAAAACAGATGATATTAAAAATACCCCCGCCGCAGCAAACCTGCAGACTAAGCGAATTTCCATTAACCTGATTGGATTTACACTAAAATGCCTCCATAAAAATAGCACATTTATTTCCTATTTAAATAGAATTAGTTTAACGAGTACTTAGGTTTGCTGCAACAGGGAGGGTAAAAAAGATTTTTTTTATAAAATGATAATAGTTTAGTAAGAAATAAAAGTATTTTCCAAAATCAATCAAAATATGTTCATAAACAAGCAAACTACAACAGTTGAATTATTCTCCATAAGAATAACATGGGAATTTTAAAATTACAATTTTTTTGAATTTTCTCCGTAACAATTAGGCGCATAATAACGCTTCAATATACTAAATTATTTGTTTTTTTAAGCTCTACAAAATGGTTTAAAAAGAAATTGTGAAATGTTATGTTTTTAGGGTCAAAAATGGGAAAAACCTATTTTTACCCCATAAACCCCCGTTCCCATAGTCCGATCATGCTGGTTCGCGAACTCATTCAAGTTTATCCCGCCTTACACCTTCAAACCAAATTTTATCAAAATCGGACAAAAATTACTCAAGTTATCGTGCGGATGGACACATATATATATATATATATCTCTATATAAAGATATATAAAAATTTGAACGAATGGTGTTTTTGGCCTCTGGGGACATCAAAATGAAAAAGTAAATCGGTCCCGGGCTTAGGTCTTACCATGAGACCTACGGTAATAGCTACTTCCCTATAGGGAAATTCGCTAAAAGTAGTTTCCCAAGCTCTAATTTAGAGAAAAAGGGAAAACTATCAATCAGCTTATTTTCCCTCGTTCTTGATTTGTTCTGCATTTATCCATTAGCAGTAGTGAGCATAAAAAATAGCATTCGTACAGAGGACCGAAATAGTTTTACTGCTCTGCTCTCAATCGTTTCAAGTTTTCGACTTTGTCTCAAACATAAGCTATTTTCCGACACTTGCCCCGTAAGTAACTCTCCTATGCTCAGCTTCTCCTTGCACGTGAAATTTATGAGGCAGAGCCTCACACATGAATCTTGAGCGCATGCCGGAAATGCCACTTTTGGTCCTAGTAATGAAATATACTATTACCAATTATTTATGTGTGTGGATTTGAATACTTTATTGGGTGGTTATAAGGCCAATAATATTGTCATCAAGGAAAATGTCTTCCCTGGTCACAAAAAAAGTTTCTGTGACGTAACATAGGCTACTCCTCTGTTTTACCTATGGTAGTGCACAGCTGGTCACTTGGGGCCGAAACAAGGTATAGTATTTATTCAGCTGTTTATAACATTTTGACTGAATCATTTTAATTTTTATCATTTCGTAAAATCATGGTGTTTCCACCATGTATAGTTGCTGCACCAATCTATTATCTTGAATTGGTTAAAACTATTTCCAAATTGTTTTTATAGCTTTATAAAAATGTATAAAAAAAAATTATATTTGAGGTAATTATTGGTTTGACTGCAAGAAAAGCTCTTTTCAAATTCAGTCTGCATAAATAGTACTCTTAACATCTTAAATAAAAATACATGTTTTGCCTTTTTGTTAGAGGTTTGATGAAGACTTGTTAATGTAAGAAAATAGTAAAAATAGTGTTAGGTTCACCATTAGACAAGTCAATGGCTTAATAAAAATGGTAAAAATGGTAGCTTCACACAGACTTCAGGCTCAAGGCATGTCCTGGTACCTGCCACTACTTTACAGTTTATTTCACCTTTGTACTTAACTGGTTCATTCCTTGCTTTGCTGGATACGTCCCACACACAGACCCAAGCCTATGCGGACAAGCAAATGCGTGGTTAAAAGCTGCCAACCTCTTAAAAAAATTAGGAATATTTATTATATGTTTCTGAACACTTAAAAAAAAATTACTTCATACCAACAACTGTTCAAGTATTGAGTTGGAAGTGGTCAATAATGGCTAAAAAACGTAAATCGTCTGAGTAGGATTACAGTAGACGTAGACCCCATCTTATCCGACCTTACATTAACCGATAATCTGACCATGCGCAACTGGCTCTCCAAATTTTCTAGGAATCTCGGCATTTCTGCTCCCACGCTTGGCGATCGGAACAATACGCTAAACTCTACAGGATGTTTCTGTAGAAATAAACAGCCTGTCTCGCAACAAAATGGTTTTTTATCTTAAATTTCGATGATAATAATTTGTTTAACACACTCATATTGTATTGCGATAGATTTGTAAAGTATCAATTATTTGACTCTACCAGTGTTTTGGGTTTATTTGTGACTTTTCAACACAAAGTCAATACTTTTTTCTTAGTCTGCTTCCTGCCATGTCCCCGGCAGTGCGTGTAGTTGATAGGCCTATCACTATATATTCGACACTACATGTTAAGGATTGTCTGACAAGGTATGTTTAACCATTATTTGTCATATTAACGCAATCCTGGGGCTATGAAAATGAATTTTAACAATTCCTGGATATTTATAAATTAAATAATTTTGTCTATGTTTTTTAATTGGTTATAAATTTATAAAATAATAAAAAATGAAATAGCCACGGCCTTTTTTAATATACTATTTTTTTGTACCGGTAAAATCAACTGATGTTACTCGATTTAAGACACGTAACTCCATGCTTATTTAGAAACTTTATGTACTATTAAAAAAAGTGCTAAATCATTAAATAAAAGGTACTAGCAAAGCTTCAAGTTACTGTAAAAGGTGTTATAGACTATCCTAATTTGTCATGTAATGATAACGATAACAATAACATATTTAGGGGTAAATATAAATGAATTTCAATCGATTTCATAAATACCCAAAATAACCGGGTATTTATTGATTTTAGGGTATTTACCCGAGTATTTTACATCACTAGATAGGCTAAGTGTAGTTTATTTTGTAAATAATACACGCATGACTTCGCACTTCATTTTATAAGTTTTTGTTTTTAGGGATTGCCCATTTTAACCGACCCTTTAAGAGGAGGTCTACTGTAGTATCTAAAACAGAACAGGCCAACTAATATATTTTAGCCGTTAACAAAGGATATGATTGGTTTATAACCAGGAGAATAAACAATTTAGTCATGAATAAAAACACAATTTATTACACTATCCTACATATAGTGTATGTAGTTTGTACTTATTTAAACAAATACGAAAGTAAACAGTAACACTCAAATCATCCAAAAGTATGGCAAAACAAGGAGTATTTAAAACACAAAACAGGGGATTTGAAACACACTGGAGCCTGCTTTGTGCTATTTTTGCAACAATGAATTAATTATTTCAGTGGTCCGATTGCAGAGACAAAGCAAAGTCATAACTTCTCCAAGCCCTGTGTTCATCTTTTCTTAGATTATCAGTTCAACTTTTTTGCATTATATTTAACAGACTGCTGGACGTAGTTCTCAAAATTAAAGTGCAGCTCTTGTTATTTGAAGGAACCACAAAAAAAAATCAGTAAGGATATATTTTGTACAATTCAAAAATCAGGTCAAAGAAAACGGATGATCAGAGAATTACTGTTCTGGTAAAAATATTAACTTACTCTACCACGTTACTCATACTTATAAAACTCAGAATATAAAACAAAAAATAATTTAAGTACTAGTAACTTCTTAAAATTTGGAATCACTCAACTGTCTTTAGTATCAGTTCAATCAGCTTCTTAACAATCACGCACACACATTATGACTACTTAAAATACAAATGTTGGTTTGGTAATGTTCGTAAATAAAACACCCAAGAAACCTCAGGAGCAGCTCATCTTGAATCTGGAACAAGAAATTAGTTTTAATACAACTAAACAAGTTAACATTTTGTATTCATATGACACTTACTTAAAACGTTCGCTGGCCACTCACCGGTGAGTGCTTTAGTTCCTCTCTGCTACGCTGATGCTCACCCATGAGTGCCGGCATCGCCTACATTACAAATAATTTCTGCGCAGCAGCACACCAGGAAGAACTGGTATTTTTATGTCTGCATTTAGCTAGGAATGGGTGCTTTATTGTGGTGTAGATTGGCAGTAAAATTCTGCATATAAAACCATTCTGGCAAGCTTAGAAACCAACTTTGAAATGAAATTGGCAATAAAATGGGACGGCTAGTTTCAGGCAGTGCTGCTATCTGCGTTTCAGCAAACTATGTCGACTCTCGTCCTAACACAGCACATCACCTTAGTTTTGAATGAATGAGTTTTGAATCCATGATGATGGGCAACTCTGAAGCAACTCACTTCTCGATCGAATCACTACAGATGATGTTATTCATACATTCATACATGGGTTAAGAATGTGAACTGTGAGATTTAATTGCAGTCGATGGAGTGGGGCACACAAATTCCCCCCAAAAGCCCCAAAAAATATTTGCAAAGAATGTTGGCAATGAAGGTTATGGCAACTGTTTTTCGGGACAAAAAAAGGTTGAAACCTTTGTGGACTTCCTGGAAAGATACATGACAATTTTGAAAATTAGGTTGTAAGCGTGACCTCTAAAGTAAAAAAAACATTGTCCTTAACTTCATTTTTAATTCCAAACAGAAATGTACTTTATAGATAGCCCTGGTATAAGAGTTATAGAACGATACAACTTTCTAACTGACTAAGATAAGCTGGGAATTTTCAGCCAGGACTGTTGATTAAAAGTCCAATGAGTCCAGTTTGAATTCGAAAATAATAATCAGACTTTTCGGGATCAAACCAATTAAATGGTAAAAATTACACTCACTGATTTTACAGTATTTTTTTTGTTAAAACTTTAAGTTAAAACTTTTGATGGGTTAAATGAGCTCTTAAGATCTTTGAACTAAAGTAACTATGATAAATTTTATTTTAGGAAAGGCTCAATGTTAGGATGTTAATTTGTAGAATAAAAGGGATAGCAGCTAGTTTACCTTGGAAAAGGCATAGGAACATCATAGAACACAGGAATTATTAGACTAAAGTTTTGCTAATCCCTCAATCTAAACTTGACAAAGTTCCTCAGGGGACAAAATGAAATATTGTTTTTTACCTGCCTTCAAGCTAAGCTAGCTGCAATTTCTTGATAATTAGAATAGCAAATATTTTAATCAAAGGTTTTTCATGAAACTTCCTGAAAAAGTATAGGCCTAAGCTAGAGATTAAGTCAATTGAACTTAGGGACGGACGGGTCCCGAAATTTCGGGAATTTTTTGGGAAAAAAATATTCCTGATTATCAGGACGGGATTACATTTGACTCGGGAATTTTTCGGGATGGGATGTGGTCCGATCGTCGGCGATTTTTCAGCTTCGCGAGTGCCGATAACGCCGTTATTACTAGCGATAGGTCCGCGAACGCAGGAGACGAAGTCATTTCGACGATTACGCTGTGACCGCGGAGTCATAACGACGATCGCGCCGTGGCCGCGATTATTGGACCGACGATCGCACCGTGACCGCAAGTCATAACGACGATCGGGCTGTGACCGTGGAGTCCTACCGACGATCACGACGTGACCGCGGAGTCCTACCGACGATCGTGCCGTGACCGCGGAGTCCTACCGACGATCGCACCGTGACCGCGGAGTCATACTGACGATCATGCCGTGATGGCGGAGTCATGCTGACGATCGAGCCGTGACCGCGAGTCATGACGACGATCGCGCCGTGACCGTGAGTCATACAGACGATCACCCTGTGACCCGCGAGTCACAAGTTTCTATAGGTACCTGTAAATTGTTACCCATTTTTTGGTTTTCATAGATCAGTGCTACAAATGGTAAAAATTGATTTCGTATGTCTTTTTTGGTAACTGCAATACAGTACTTTCTTTTTATGCACAGAAAAAAATCCCGTCCCGTCCCGTCCCGAAAATCGGGAAGGAAATAAAAATCCTGTCCCGTCCCGAAAATCGGGAAGGAAATAAAAATCCCGTCCCGTCCCGTCCTGAACTAAAAATTCAATCCCGTCCATCCCTAATTGAACTCAATATACCTTAATTTATTTCCTGGATTTCCTGCCTTTTGCTGACTTGGCAGGTGTCTTCTTCTTTGCCGTTTTCTTTGTGGCAGTCTTTTTGCTGGGCGTTTTCTTCTCTTCAGGCTAAAACAACATCCAACTCATTTAAGAATCTTCCAAAGACTAACACTAGTTTTAACCAATCTTAAGTTATTAGATACAAATTATTGTTTTAATCATATCCGGCCAAAATGTTATCTGGCCAGGGGCTTGGTCCCACGTAGGCCGGATTTAAGGGGTTTTACTGTATGGAGTTTAAAGTTGCAAATACACATAAGGCACCCAGATTAAAATACAACTTGAGAGAACCCTTGGTTAAGCCAGTTTAATACATGAATGCGTGTGTGACATTCCTCATAGACAATAGTGGTGGGGGGATATAGAGCTCAGTAATGAAATTGAGCTTACTTTAATTGAAAAACATACTCTTGTGCATTGTTGGTAGAAAATCTATGTAATAAAGGTAATGGCACATTTAATCTATAAAATATGTACATATTTAAGAGTGGAGTTACATTTGTTGAGTTGATAGAAAATAATGCAGTTGCTTAGTTATTTCCAAACAGCACAAACAACAACGATGAGGTTTTCGAAGAATTTAAGAACACTGTGAAGAACACCATAGTTTCTATGCGCCCGACCAGATCTGGTTGGGTCTAGGCAAGGGGGTTGTTGGGGGTACTTTTGTGAAAACATTTGTGTCTTGCTACTCACTCACCCCTACCCCCAGCACTGCCAATAGCAATAGCCGGTACCCGTATGTTTTAGTTCAGCTAGTAGCGACCCGTCCACGCGAACAGAAGTTTTGGCCGAACTGTAGCATAGGCCAACAGCACAAGGGCCTAGGTTTTTAAGATGTTGAGGATAACAGGTTTACCTGAATGGGAAAGAAAGAAAATGCGCTGTCAGTGAAAGTAAAATATTTTAATGTTTTGTGTAGGCCTATATGGAGTAAAGTTTTGTGTTCCTTGTACAAGTTTGGACTCTTTCCCATTCAGGTAAGCATGTTACCATCACATACAAATCCTATAAGAATCAGGAAACCTAGAATATTTTGACCATACTTAAACATCCAAATTACTTCAACAGTTTGTCAACCTTTAAGCCTACTTCATCTTCTGCCCCAATTACATTACTCATCTCATATTTTCAGTTACCTGCGTCTCACTTCCATGCTCTTCTAGGTACTTGTTGATCAGATCTTGACAGGAAAGATGGTTTTCTGGCTCCCAACTGTCATCGCTTTCCTTGTATCCCTTCCAACGGATTTTGAATTCTTTTTTGCCCTTTTTCATTCTCAGGCCGACTATTTCTTCTACCTATAAAAATTAGTATAGAGATCAGCTGGCTAAGCAAAATAAATCTCTAAAAAGAGCTATCAGGCCAATAGGCCCTAGATGAAGAAACTGTAAAAATTTTTTCAATCAATTTAGAATTCTTTCCTTCTACAAGCTTAAATATTCATTGAATCACTTTGATGAATAAGGAAACCTTAAACGCTAAACCTATCCAACTGCAATTAATTATGATACCTGATTGAAAAACTGTCTAAAACCTTTACAACATGAACTTACATCCGTCATCACCAGTACATGGCTCTCAAAAATTACCATAACTGCCACTAAATACAAGTCACTCTTTATTACAAAATTTAAAACTTATTTAAAGGCGTGGCTATTGGAGAAAGGGTTTTATTCTTAAGATTTTTTGTAAGTCAGTAATTTCTTTCATGGCATTTAAAATTAGTTCCATAATCAATGAAGTAAACAACGGCAACTCTATAGTCCGTTAGCGAGGAGATGGTGGGCCTCCCCATAGTTAACATCTTGTTCGTCGCTATTGTTAATTATACTTGCAAATTTTTTATTTGTGATCGTGACTCATTTGTTGATAACTGGAAGTCTACTTTGCACACTAGCACCAACATATGTCTACTAAACCTGGTGTGAAAATTTTTCCAGGAGAATTCAAGGCAAATTCCTGAATTTTAAGAGCTACTATCGGAACCCTCTCAACTTATCGCAACTGGATAATAATAATTTATTATTATCTGAAACAAAACTTTTCTAAAGAATAATATTTTAAACAACATAATAAAACAGTATAACTGGTAGGTGAGGCGACACCAGTTATAATCTCCTGCGATTGTGGGAATGCCGGTGAGCATATCCTGCCGATTCGGCAACACCGATAATTGTTCCCCGCGATTGCGGCAACAAAAGCGATAGTGTTTCGGTTAGCCGACGATTCCGACGACAGGGCTCCGGATTCCCGGAGAGGTTTGGGTGGATTGAGTTTTCCAGGACATTTCAAGGTAAGATTCCCGGAGAGCAGACACTATGACCAACAAAAATATGACTTATCTCAAGTACTCAGCCAGCAAGGTTTGCCATGTAGACTGCTATGTTGATAAAAATAAGGGTTTGAAAAACATGCCTTTGGTTACACAGTCACAATGAAATTTAGTAACGGATCACCATTACAAGGTCAAAATTATTTTTTAAAGCATTATCAAAAATGCCTCTGATGAAAATTAACTGAATGTATGAACAAATTTTCATATAAGTGGATGTTTCCTGTAAGACAACTGAGAGTATCAACGTCTTTTGTTTAAGTCCCATGATTTATACTTTCATGTGGTTTTTAGAGGATTTTGTAATGAAATATCGTAATTAGCGAACTTAGTAAACCAACTTACCTCGTAATCTTTTTCAACCTTTTTCGTCTTTTTTGGTAAGGTGGCCTTCACCGGTGACTTTGAAGATCGTTTCTTAGCCTGCGGTTTCTCTGACCTGAATTTCTGTAACAAGTCGTTACAATTAAGGTCCGATTCCTCCTCCCATGTGTCGTCCCCTCTAGAATACCCCTTCCAACGCACGAGGTATTCTCTCTTGCCTTGTATTGTTCGGCAATCAATTATTTTTTCTACCTGTCACACAATTTAATACACAATGAAAGCTTAGACTATTTTCAAAAAACAAATTAAATTAACAGGCTACCAGGAAAATAAAAGTTTAAACAAGTACTACCAAAGTACGATGATCATGAATTTGCCAGTCAGGGAAGACAGTGATAATGTTTGTTTCCACAGAGTAGGATTTTTCTGCAATCGCAGGAGACAAAGTGACGATGATGTTTACACAGTTGGGGGTGATGACCAGAAGGATTAGAATTTTACCACAACCGTGGAATACAATGATGATGTCTACATGACTGGAATATCGCAAATGACGATGTGTTACCACGGGGGATATTCAGCTCTTTGCTGAGACAATGACAATGTCTACATGACAAGAGATGATCCTAATGTCCACATTACCGCAGGAGATATTCAATATTTTATTGTGGTCGTAGAGGACATCGGTAATATTTTCATGACCACGGGAGGTGATGGATGATGTTTCTGTGACTGAGGAAGATATTCAGAATTTTGCAATGATCGCAGAAGATATTCAGGATTTTGCAGTGATCGCAGAATATTCGTGGTCTCTCTGATGGCGGAAGATGATCACGATATTACCTTGAGTTTGGCTTGATTGAAAATCCCAGACTGGCACAACTCTAGTTTTAATTAACATTTTCTTTGTGATAGTTTTTCTAAATCTTCATTCGCTTTTGATATGGTATTTAAGTCTTAGAAGGGTTTAAACTTAGCTGGAATTTTTCATTGCTGCATTGATTTTGCTTTACATGGGAAAACTCAAATTGCTTCAAAATTACTTTATAGAAGGACATGGCATAAATACAGTTGAATAAGCAAGCAATCCATACAGAGAATTTGGTTAATAAAACACATGGTGCTGGTATTGAATTGAGAATATATTTACCAGATATTGGCATCGGTATCGAGAATCGATAAATTTTGGTATTTATTAGGGGAGAGTGGGGCACATTTGAACACTTTTTAAACTTTAATTTTTTAATGGGGGTATTTATGTGTTTCAGTTGGGGTATATTTGAACAAAATGCTTACCAGAGGAAAACATGGTGTTCAAATGTACCCCTCAGACTCTGTTCAAATCTACCCTACTAGACACCATTTTGCAAAAAGTTAAATTATGTCTTCTTGGATTATAATTTATCAATGTGAAGTGCATTATTGTAACTAAATATGTATAACCTAAGCCATAAGGTAAATGGATCAAACTTATCTGTAATGTAGTTTTTCTATGGAAAATTTACAAATCCCTACTGCTAAATAAATTTCCTTGTGGCACTCTAAAACTTTTTTTTCCAACAACAAACTAAGAACTGATCAGAAATAGAGGGAGATGAATGCAACCTCTTGCCCTATTGGAGGGCTACATTTTACATCTGATCCAATGGCCTGCGAGTATAAAAACATGACGGCAAATTTCAACCGTTCAAATGAGCCCCACTCTCCCCTACACATCACTAAATAAATAGGACATTCAACGAATTATTTACATTCTTTGGAGAATTGTGAGCATCTGTTTGAAATACCGGTACTCAAGACTATACCTAGTAAAGTTAATTGGGATTTTTGGTATTTCAGTTAGTTATGATCATGATGTTTCTGGTCTACTGTCTACTGAATATTGTCTACTTTTTCTGCTCTTTGACACTTTTACTGTAGTTTGAATTTGTGATGGTTTTCCCACATAAGCAACAGCTTTTGAGATGATCTAATTTGTTTCACATTATTGAAGACGGAATTGCTATTTAATATTTTTTTATGGGTTATAGCACAGAAAACATACTGCTATAACCCAGAATGCCAACCGCATGGTAAAAAGCATTAAGTGTTTTGAGAGAGCTTTGCCTGTCAATCGTAGGCAGCGCCACCAGCGTTGCTATGCTGAGTGCATGGCAACGCTGGTGGCGCTGCCTACAATTGACAGGCAAAGCTCTCTCAAAACGCTTAATGCTTTTTACCACGCGTTTGGCATTCTGGGTTGTTGTAATATGTTTTCTGTGGTTATAGGTAGCTTTAGTGTAAAAAAATTGTATTTTTTACTTTCTCATTAGGTGTCATTAAGTATGTTTTGAAAATTCCGATAAAACAGGATTCTTGTTTTTAATATGTTTCTCACAAGTCTACATACTCCACACTGGTATTAAGATTCATGCAAAATTAAAAATTGTTAAGTACCAGTACTTCCACAAAATTGAATAAAAAGGCAATGTTCGGAAAATACAAAATGGCGGCTCTGTAACTAACCAATGACTTAAAGTTAAAGATGATTTACAATGAGGTTACAAAACACTCTATATATGTTTACCTCATAAGAGGCTTCACTGTCTCCATCTTTTGTAACCGGCTTTGGCGTTCTGGAAGACTTGCGGGCTGGCTCTGCTTGAGGTTTCTGAAAACCAAAACAATAACTTTAGAAGCACCACTCATGAACAAATAAACGGTATCAGCATTCTGACACATACTTTCTCCTATAAGTTTGTCAACAACCTTTATCATGTGTAAGGAGAATCTATTGCGGTCTTGGCTTCACCGCTGATTGTGTCTAACGATCACGGAAAAACCAGTGATCAGTCTTTCGGATAACCAACATTATGGACATTATGGATAACCACGCTTAAAAGGATTCCCAGGGGTTTGGGTTAATTCTCACAGTTTTCCAGGACATTTCTAGGTGAAATCAAATTCCTGTAGGGTTCCCGGAGAGTATGATCATGGTGAGCATTATAACCACTCTTTTACCTAATGTTTGGAGCTACCACGCCACCGTCAGCAGAACGTGACAAGTGCCGCTGCAGGTTGCAGGGGAGATTTAACAAACCAATTCCCCGATATACTCTGGCTTAGGTTCTAAAAATATCTGAAAAAGTAACTTCTTGAACAGTGTGATGTTCTAGTTAGCCTATTTCAGGCATCTTTAGCTAATTAACATAATCTGATTAAATGTAAAGCACGCATTCAATTTCTCTAAGCAAGCCAAATAAAAAGTCAGTTTTAAAAGACAGCAAAACAAAGAACAGAGAACAGAGAGAAAATTGTTTTACATTTTTTTGGTTCTGATTTTTTGAACTTCTGAAATTTAAAATCCTTAACTAAGTTTTATTGAAATAATAATTTGACTGTCTGAATGATAAGCAACCAATTTGATTGTTTCTTTCCAATTACCAGAGCAAATTCCATGAACACCAAAAGGACCAGGGTGAAGTGGGGTAAGAGGAACAGATTTTAGCCTACAGTAGAACCTCGGTTAACCGAAACGGTTCCATAAAATAATGGCCTACATGACCAAAATATAAGAAAGTCTTGTAAAATGCTTATTAATAAAAAGTGTTTTCCAACCCATTGTAACATTTCTGTAGCTGAAATAAAACAGGTACTGTATTATAAAGACATGGTTTCAAATTCATTTTTCCAACACACTGTGGTAATATAGGCCTAGGCTATTTTTAGCATATTAGGGGTTAACAGAACAATTGGTTATCCGAAACGGCTACCCTCCCCCTTTTTTTGGGTTAACCGGGGCTCTACAGTAGTTGAACATTGACCTAACATTGCTCAGGTATTATTGGTACTACCTACTTGTAATAGTGAATTTTTTGTACCATAACTACAACTAATCAGCTTTTTAAAGACAAAAATTAACTTACACAAAAATTCCTTTAAAAAAGTAAAAAAATTTAGTTTGACCTGTGAATTTACATCAAAAGGTCACATGTAAACAAGTTTTTTTTAAATTTAAATTTGTTCATACCTATGTTATTTAGATTTTTAACACCTTCAGTACGAGGGGCGGGAAATGTCGTCCTTCACCAATGCCAACAATCTTGCTTCAATGTGAGCTCAACCATTGCCGGGGAACGTTGTAATCATTCCTAGCCTGTAGCTTAGAATGCGAGCTTCATTCTGGTGTATGTTGGTACTAAATTGTTCCGTTCCAATGCAATGCCTTGGTCCCGGTTCCGGGGATTTTCTCTCTTCGAGCCACATTACAAAGACACTGGCTACAGATCCAGGCAGTGCTGCTACCTTCGGGTGTTTCAGTGAACTACGTCCACTCTCAAAGTAGGTAACGCAGCACAATCACCGCTGCTCTTTGCCCGGGCCTCACCATCATTGGCCTGTTTGAAGGTATGCCGCACTGAACGTGTTAAGGTTAAGAACCTTAAAACAAGGTCCAGAGAATACAATATGATGGTAATCAAGCTGAAAATTATCTTATCAGTTGATTGATAAGCTGCGGTTACACTTGCCCCCTGGTTCCACTTACCCCACTTCACCCTATCTGAAGTAAATCTTGGAACTTACCGTACCAGAATATTCCCTTACACGTTGTTTGGATTTTCTGAGTAGGTAGCCAAAGAAATCCTTGGAAAAATTAAAACATTTATCCCGGTTCTCCTGACCGCAAAACCTGGTTCCCAATTCGCTAAGCTTTACCATCTTTTGTTTAAAAAAGTCGGCTTTAATGTACCGAATTTCAGCATGTTGCATTTACAACTTGCTAACTTACTTGGTTGATACGGATATTCCGTCAATCGTTTTAAGTTTACATACTGTTGAAAGAACCCCAGAGGATCTATCATGGTTTGACAGTGAAATCCACAGTTTTCCCTTCACGGTTGAGTGTGTAACCCTGCCGAATGTTTGTACAATAATATTGCTTTACTCACAGGTTCTTTTTTGGCGGCCTTTTTTGGTTTGACAGGAGCCTTTTTCTTCTCTGAGCTTTCCTCCCCATTTTCAACCACCTCCTCTTCTTTTTCTTCTTCTGAAGGGTTCTCCTCGGGTTTCTGAAAATACAAGTAGGTAACATTATATAGACAAAAATTCCAAATACAAGGATTAGGAATCAAAACAGTTAATCTTACCAATTAAGTTAATCAGGGTACCAGTTTAAGAATGTAGAAATTGAATGGCATTGCTACATTAACAAATTTACAAAGACATGATGCATGGATTCATTAATTTACAGGCAAATCTAGAAAACTCTTAAGTTTAACCCTACCAAGACGGGTGATGAATATAAATATTTGATGCTTGTAAATGTTACGGATGGGAGGGAGATACTTCACGGCTGCTTCTGTAGACAGGCTGGTTGGCACTAACAGTAATCAGCTGATCCGGGCTACTATCGCACTATTTTTCAGTGATTTGAATTGTTGTTACATAGAATGTGGAATATCTGTAGGTGCACCTAACACTGCACCTAACATGTAATTTTTTTACGTGGTTTTGGCTGTATATTGACTTACTATGCAAGGAAACTGTACCGTACCGTAACAAAATAGCTCAGAATCATCTCCTGAGCTTCAGGACGGAATCATTTTGTCATGCTGAGCTTAATTATATAAGCAGTCTCATTCGACAGTAGCTACATAGGAAGTTAACAAATATAATTGTAGGGCTTGTAAGCACAATTCAACTGTGTGAATCTATGGCCTGTTATTGAACTTTACAAGAAAACGACAGTGTTAAATTAATTAGGCCTAAATATGACGTGGAAGCGAAAAGGGACCTCTTGTCTGGAATTTTTGATTTTGAGCCAAGTTATAGGCCTACGGTATGTATATTATATTTGAATTCCTTTTTAAATTACGAATTACTTGGTGCAAGTCTCTTGCATCTACGATGTTAAAGTTATAGGAATATATGAATTTTTTTTTATGGAGTGGGTCATATAGAGAAAACTATTTTGAAAATTTCAATTAAACATAAAAACAGTTTTTTATTTGTAGGCCTATTTATGGGACAATTTTGGTATCAACAGAAAGCTTCTAATGTCCTCTTTGGAAGCAATACAAATTTTTGTCTTAGCTCACAGGGGTTTTCATTTCAGAAAAAGGGACCTCTTGGCGGTCCTATGTTACTTCTTCATAAGATAAAAAAGGCACCACTTGAAGGACCGCAAAATTTGTGAGATATTTTGGTCTCTGTAAACTGAACTTTGTTGTAGTCCTCTAAATTCCCAATAGAATGCAGTACAATTCATTTTTTGGACTAAAGCCTGTTTATAAAGTGAATATTAGAAATTAAACCTCTTGTTGTTAGGGCGAAATAACATTGAGCGACAACAGGTAGGTACCTTTTCCCAGATCGTGCAGGACTAACAAAAAGATTTATTTCAACCTTTTACATCTTACAAATCCATAATTTAACCGATACTGTCCTGTTCTAAGTTAAACGAGATATAACAATCAATATAGGCCTACCGGTACTTAAATCAAAATTTTGGTATTTTTTACCGTAATTACTTAGCCTATATCGACCGTGCCGGTACCGAAAATTTTGCATCGTCCACAAGAGGTCCCTTTTTATATAGACTAACTATTTAAATTTTAAGTCTATGCCTACCTTTTCTTTGGATTTGCCGGTAGTCTTGATAGCCTTCTTCTTAGCGGATGGATCGTCTACTCCATTCTCTTGGCTGGTGTTTTCTGTGTTGTCATTTGTAACACTCTCAGCCTCGACCTCCTGAAAATAATCTATTGTAACATAGGCCTAACAATAATTTTTTAGACTAGGCCTATTGCCAAAAATACAGACAAGTAGGCCTAAGCTATTTTTTTACATTCATTTTCATACGTAGGTTAAGTTAGAAAAACGCCATCATATAAAATAACCAAATTATCTAAATGGGCTATGATAGCGTACAAAATTGCAAAATGGCGGCCATTTACAATTTTTATAAAATCAGGCATTCTTTGGTAGGGTCAACGTGGGTAATTGTGAACGCCAATGTACTACATGTTCCACAGTACATTTCACCGCATCCAACTCTTGGCCAACAGCTTACCGGAAGATACCGACCTCTTCTCCACCAGTGGCGAGTCGTTAAAAAGGTTGTTACTTGATCTGTGAGGCGCTGCCTTGATTTGTTGTTTAAGTAAAATATCAGTTTATTTATTTATTACTATTGTTATATTTTTCTATTGTAGTATTATTATTGTTATATATTATTGTCATTATTTGTTCCTGTTGTTGTTATTATTTTTGTTATCTTTGTTGGCTAGAGATTTTTATTCAATGTTTGTTGCTACATTACAACCACCATAAGATTTAATATTAAATCTTAGATATGGATATATCTAAGATTTATCATTGTTAGTCAACATTGCTCAGATTGTAGTTTGTTGTTTGTTGTTAAGTTCTCTCTGTTAAGTAGAATCTTATGCCCCTTTACATGTTTGGCTTGACCCTTTGTTATGTATTTTGACGTTTTTTGACCATTGGACCACTTTTGAGCTACATAGCTCAGTTATGATCGAGAGTATAAATACCTTGTCCCTTACTATGTAAGGAACATGTTTAGGAAATAAAATCCAAAAATTAAACGAGTGATTTTCCTGAAAGCGCCAGCAATCGATTGTATTTTGACCATTGGACCACTTTTGAGCTGAGCTCAGTTATGATCTATATCACCCATATGCAAGTATATATACCTAGTCCTTTACTATACAAGGAACGTAGGCTATTAAGGTAATAGAATAAAAAATTAAAGATAAATTTTTCTGAAATCGCCAGCAGTAGATTGTATTTTGACATTTTTTGACCATTCGACCACTTTTGAGCTACATAGCTCAGTTATGATCGATATCACCCATATGCAAGTATATATACCTAGTCCTTTACTAAGTTATGTAAGGAAAGTATTAAGGTAATAAAATCCAAAATTTAATGATCATTTTTTCTGAAATCGCCAGCAATACATAGATTCATTTTAGGTGATTTTCTATCATGTGACAAATGTTGGACTTCATAGCTCAGTTATGACCAATATCACCCACAAGAAAGTATATATACCTAGTCCCTTAGTATGTAAGGTAGATATTTGGGTAATAAAATCAAAAATTTAATGATAATTATTTCTGAAATAGCCAGCAATAGATTCATTTTAAGTGATTTTCTATCATAGGATCTCTTTCAAGCTACATATATAAGCTATGATCGAGTTAGCTCTTATAAGGGATATAGGTATATATTATCTTGTATTTTACTATGTTACTAACATAATAAAACAACAAGGCAATAATTTGTTTATGCAGTTTTATACATATGTATAGAGAACTAGTATACTCAACGCTCTGCGGGTGCCATGAAACCTCATTTTGGCCGCGTTTTGATTTCGAAGAAAAAAATTTCCCGCCACTGATTATTTGGAGGTTATGTTAACCTAGTGATGACATAGTCAGACTGAGGTATGACGTTTTACTGTGACGTGAGATCGTCGGAGGGGCGGTACGAGAAGTGGGCGGAGTTATTGCTGATCTATTGCCAGTTTCACGACGATCGTAGGCCTAAGCTAGGAAAAATTGTTCCAGGGTTTTTTCCATTAATGGTAGATTTGTGTTAAGAAAATCTTTTAACTTAGGGCCTAGACCTTATGTTGCATTAAGCAACTTGTGCTGCTCTACTGGTCTCGGTCTAGGAGGAAGTAGGGGGGTAGCGGATTTTTATCCCCCTGGAATTTTACCCCCTGTGCAAACGTGACGTCACAAACCAGGGGGTAAAATTCCGGCCACAAACTTTTGAGTTTCGCGACATCAGCTCGATGGATTAAACGCGGAATTAAACATATATTTTCACGGTTGTGAATTTAATCAGAACACATGTAATTATAAAAACCTAGAGTGTACAGCCCGGATTTTTACCCCCTAGCCAGATATATAAATTAGTGAGAATAATTAATTATCTTCATTCTGTTTTAATTTAATAGTAAACATTTAATTACTTATTATGTAGCCTACTGTAGGTACATTAATTTAGGCCTACTATTTGTAACATTATCTAATCGGACAAGTTTTTAATTTCAATTTTGAGATTCTAGTATTAGGATTCGATCTTTGAAGCCAACAGTTGGTTAATATGGCGTAAACAATCAACTGAATGATAATTGTTTCGAACATTTCTTTACAAAATAAATAAATAAAGATAGGGTCTATCCATATTAAGTGATCCAACAGGGGTTGCTTGACCATTTTTAAAATAAATAATATTTTTATCCTAGATACCTTTATCAATTCTGGGTTCAAAAGTGATTTTAAAAATTTTTTATCTATTTTGTTACTCCTACGGCGGCCATTTTTGTTTTGCAGAACACGCAAATCTTTGCTCATGTAAGGGTTTGCGTTAACTTGCACAACTTGGTAACCATGAACACTAGAGTGATGAAACAAAAAGCATTTTAATCTGGAAGAAACAGCCTAAATATTATGTTCAGTACATATTTATTGAAATGTGTATCAAAAACAGTTTTAAACCCATCTCAACATTTCATAAGAAAACGGAAAAAATTCAACTTTTGAAGGCGTAAGCATATTTTCAATCAAGGAGAGGTTTTTCACAATTATTTATCTTAAAATATACTTTAATTTTAGTTTCTTCTCAGATTCTTGTTTTTAGACCCTTAATATAATTTATTAAAACTATTAACAAAACTTTTTTTAAATTAAATATGTTTTTTAAGGAATTTTAAAACGTAACGAAACTGACGTTTTTTTTGTACTCTGCTCACAAAAAACCTGTAAAAAATAGAAATTATTAGAATTAAGCTCTGCTGAACTAATTACTATGTTTTATATGACATATACTACTTGTATACAAAGAACCATAACAAAGTAAATTTGTTTATGAAAAAAATTTATTTGTTTTGATTTTGTCCCTCAATTTGATAATCACCCTTGGAGGACAATTTAGGTCCCAGGCCAAAAAAATGTGAAAAAGTTAATAAAAAAATACAATTTTATTATGTTGTTGTTTATTTATCCCTATTTTATCCCTTGTAATCCTTATTTTTTACTTAATTAGTGAATAAATTAGTTTTAAATCTTTTAAAAGCTGATTTTTGTCAGTTTCGTTACTGTCCCCAGAGGCTAGTTTGAATATCATTAAACTCTAAAGTAGAATGTAGAATCAAAAAGAAATCTGTAAACTAAATATAAAACGTAATAACTAATGTCTGTATATTCTTATACCACACCTATATTTTCCATAATATTGTTATTTAAAGAGAAAATAATAAAAAACTGCGTGTCCCCGGCTTTTGCCATCGTCTGCAGAGATATTTTAAATTCGCGCTACAAACTACGTGATTCGCCGATATCCCGCCCAATCATACTACAGTGGCAAAAGGAACTAATGAAGTTTGCGGTGAAAGTGTTTCGTGTGGGTATTTTCTTTATATTTCGAATGAAATAAATAAATACAGGACTACTGAAGGTGAGTACCTTTATTACACATCAGTTTCGTTACTCATGTTTATATAAAAGTAATATGTTAATTGTTCTAATTAAGGTTTAGTAGTAGACAGTAGGTCAGTACAAACATAACCTATACGTCTCTTTGCTCACCCTGGCGATGTTCAGCACCATCTGGTGCGAAAATGTCAAGATCGTCAGTTACGTTACAGTCATTTTCGTTCCGCTACGAAACTGACGTCAGATTTCGCTACGTAATGAAACTGACGAAATCGTAATGAAACTGACGAAACCGTGACGTATCTGACGATTTTTGTATTCTATATAAACATAACTGATTTTTTTTATAATACTACCTGTTCTTCTAATAGTTTGTTATTATGCGGGACAACAATAAGCAATTTAGCAAAGTGTAACATTAATGTTTTTGCCGCACCTCTCGTTTTTTCTCGTTTTCTTGCATCCTCGATGTTTTTCTTGTTCCTGTTGATCTCATCTTAACCACACTAAGATTTAATATCATTTTTATATTTTCGGGTATCATTCTAATGCAGGATTTTTTTTGCTTTACAGTTGCTAGATTGAAAAAATGGCGAAAAAAACAAAGAAAAAGACAGTTGAATCAAAAAAACTGGAAAGGCAAAATAAACTCGCCGCAAATCGTCAAAAAAAAATATAGAGACAAAATGTCAGAAGAACAGAAAGCTGAATACAGAAAGAAGGCGAGGGAAAGATATCAAAAAAGGAAAGCAGAGAACAAAGTAAAATTTATAAAGGAACTTAGCGCTAAAGAGCAAAAAGAAAGAAGAAAAAGGTGGAAAGAAGACTCAAAGAGGTATCGCGACAAGAAGAAAATGCAAGAGAAGGCCTTGGAAAACACCCCCCCTGAATCTGGAGAGGAAGAAGACATTGTACAAGTGCCCCAACAAGTTTCAAGACAAAATTTGAGTGGAAGAAAGAAAGTAAGACGGGATCGAGCAAAGGCATATAGAGAGCTTAGAAAAAAGGATGAAAAAATATTAAGTCTGGAAAGAAAACTAGAAAAATGTAAAAAACGGTTGCAAAGATTGAAAAAAAAAAAAAACAAGTAAAAGTGACAATCAAACACTAGCCTCACCCTCACCTTCAAAGAAAGTGAAAGAAGTGATAGGTAAAGATCGTGTATCTCCCAATGTACGCAGACAATTATTCATTGGGTTTGCGTTGCAAAAACAATTAAAAACACAACTTCAAAGTGTAAGTCCTAAAACTAAAGAAATCCAAATAGTACGAAAAGTG